TCTACAAATCATTTGACACGATGATAAATGGGGCGGTTCACTCCAGCATTGTATTTATACGCCGTTTCCAAAGACTTCAGTGAGTAAAGATACGTCGTGAACACCGATTGTTTTAAGAGAGGCGTGACCTGATTATTACCTTTGTGTGCTTCCGTTTTGTAAATAATTATTGTACATGTATAATTGGAGTCTTTGGCCTGACAGCACCATACCATAGAATTTTAGTGAGTGAGTGAGGGAGGTTAGAAACGCACCGCTTTGGCCAGGATTTCAGTTATGACATGGCATGCCATATTGGAATATTATATCTACATCACAGCAACAGTAAACTTTAATAAAAGGGACACTGGCAGGATAGGATTTGTATACAGCGAACTGTTAAGAAGTATTAAACAGAAAGTCATTTAACAGACCAATAATGGCTGGAATGTATGATTTCTGGGCCGTGTTTGTTTTCAGCATCGGTGTTCGCAGTCGGCGACCAGAACGTAGAATATTATATTCGGAATGAAGTATGTGACGACTGTCATATAGTATCTTACGCGCCTTTTTGACAACTTGCTGCTCATAAATAAATATCACCGATGTTTTGAAATTAGTCACATAAATTTGTGCTTGCTTTATTTTAAATTGATGTCATTTTGATTTATTTAAAACACACAGGCTCCCATACCAGCAGTAGTCACTAAAAACAAAAATGCTTTGAATAAATTTCTATAAGAGCAGGAGTTAACCAAATCCATTTAACTTTTATCCTACCCTATTACCGGACAATATTCAGACACTGTAAACCACCGATAAATTGTGTCCAACTGTGACATGTCGAGTTGCGGTTGTGGCGAACCCATTGTCCGGTCTCCGGATCCTTCATGTTGTTTTCAGTATTCGACCTCTGCTTGTTATCGTTGTCGCATAAAAATGTCCTGTGAAGTCGAACTGAAATTTATGCACCAACTTCAACCTCCATCAATGTCAAAATACAAATTCATATGGTTGTTTCTAAACATTTTATGACGTGTTTAACATAAACTTTATTATAACGTGATCGTCAAAAGTTCGAGTACGATATCATTCTTTGGGTTTGAAGAACGACATTGAAAAGGTATTTGCGGATGCGTCGATACGTAATCTACCACCTTAGGCGCGTTTGACAAGACCTTTTATATAGAGCACGACAAAGCACAACACCTTGTTTGATACCCTATTGGAGACAAGGCCACGGACTATGCCCTTTAGCAACCATTTTGTTGTAGTGTCGGTGGCATGTTGGTCAGAGTCAATCGCCGACAGGGGGAGCTATTGTATGGCTCATACACCTGGATTATCCTTAATCCGCGCGTTAGGTGGCGCGTGGTACCCCTGACAAAGTCTTCCAAATGATGTCGTCGCACTGGGCACACTGTGAGGACAATACATGTGAAGAACATGTAATCTGTCATCATGGCGACCTTTGTTGTGATAGTCTAGGCTATTTTAGTGGGCTCTTTTAAAGGGTAGTGTTCACGGCGAGTGTGTTGAATCATTGAGAAGGTGGTATGTACGAGGTGACGTGAATGTCACCGACCGGGCGATATTAGAGATTAGCAGACGTCAAACATTTCACTCACCTCAGGAAGTATTGATTTGTTTCCAACAACAGGCCAATAATGAATAATCGGTGGATACAAAATGTACAAATAATGAAATAACAAGTGATCTGTAATCGAAATTAAAGTACGCTGATCTGAGAGTAGATATAACTTTTACAAGCCAGACATACGGACAATATTGTGTCTCGTAATCTCCACGTAGCGGATGAAAAAATGAGTTAGTCTGAATACCGCTTTGAACAGTGTTTTAGTTATATATCAAGGCATGGCTTTTCTGTGAAAGGAAATCCCAGTGTGATGCAGGTCCTAGATGTTTACCACGTTGGTGAAACCCGCAAGCACGGACAGAGTTTGAGTAAATGAGATTGGTGTCGCTTTGAACACAATATATGTCAGACTGAATAATATCTCTTTGAAGGGTTATTCACACTGCACAACTAGTTAGAACAACTTCTTGTATGCAATTAGTTGTACGAACTGAAGTATGCAATTAGTTGTACGAACTGAAGTATGCAATTAGTTGTACGAACTGAAGTATGCAATAAGTTGTACGAACTGAAGTATGCAATTAGTTGTACGAACTGAAGTATGCAATTAGTTGTACGAACTGAAGTATGCAATTTGGTGTCCACACAGGGGCGAGTTGCATACACCTTGGGTTTCGCGAGATCGCTTCCTTTATTAGCCGAGTTGATTTCCGGAACTCATTTCTGAACGTTGTGCGAGAATTGTAGAAAATTGAGAAATGTAGGGACCTTTAATTGCAAAAAAATATATTTGACGAAATAATGTATTTGACGGCTTTAAGTAAAGTATGAGCGAACCAACTATTGCTCTATACCCGAAGTACATTATGACATATACATTATATTTGTATGGTCATTTACATATTCGATACAAACATAATTTAATGTATATATGGCGAAACTCCATTTCCTCTGACGTTAAAACGAGGCGGAGAGATCAACACACGCTTAAAGAAAAAGGGGCATAACTTCGAAGAAAGCCTCAAAGGTTGCATATCATTGATGTTAACCATGATGGTGTGTGAACCTTTTATTCGGGGCGCACCTATGATTCGAGCGCACGACCGACATACCCTAGCTGTTACCAGTCCGGACTAATGCCGACTCTATAGCACTAGCCCACTGAGATACCATCCAGCAGTTTAACAGTATACTGACTCCGAGTCGACCAGTTCTTCTTTTAGCCCCTTAATGCCGAACGCCAGACAGGGTAGCAACAAGAACCATCTTTTAACGTCTTTTGGTACGACGAAACCGTGGATCAAACCCTTGACCTTCCGCTCTCCGGGCGGACGCTCTACCACTAGGCCACGGAGGCGGTCCCTCACCTGTTACGGAACTCATTCCACAGCGTCACATCTGTACCACATGTCAATAAAATTCGTTAAAATATACGATATCTCCAAACCTTTACATTTCGATAGATCGTAACTAATGCAACTCATCTTGCTATAGTTGCTTCTGTTAAAAACGTCGACGGCCATGTTAGATTTCAAAGACGTCATTTCCCTTGATCACGCGCTTGACCTTGATGGTCTGAAAAACAGATCCCAAACCATCCTCCGGTCAAAACAGATCGGTGAATACGGTAACGGACAAGTAGATCGGAACTCCACTCGGCCATCTTGACATTCAGAGTATTACTCGGATTGAAAATAGCTTTAATGGCACACGCTCCATCCATTGGGTTCACTCTCGTTAGCATGGTACAAAGAGGTGTTTGAACCGGCAGAAAACGAGCGTGATTAGTATTGTGGGCTTCGCGTGCTTAGAGTAATGTTGTTTCCCCATCGCTTCCAAGCACCTACCAACCTTATTCACATTTCCTGCGAGGAAATGACGCTCATACAGATCCCCTGTAGACGGAGGGAACACGCACGGACGTCTACTTGACGGCAAAAAGATGTAATCTGGTGGAAGCGCGCCGTGTTTTATGAATTAGAAACAATTGGTGCGATGCGAACTGTTAATGTGTTTTCGTCAGGGTGGAGGGGTGTGGGGTTGGGTTGTGATGGAAACTTTAGGCATCTGTCTGCTAACCTATTTATTTATTTATTTATTTATTTATTTATTTATTTATTTATTTATTTATTTATCTATTTATTTTCAAATTAATGTAACAGGAAAGTTATACAGAGTTGCAAAATGGATGGAATATGTCTTATTATTGTGTCGTCTTCTTCTTCTTCTTCTTCTTCTTCTTATTATTATTATTATGTTGTTGTTGTTGTTGTTGTGAACATACCAAAAGTAGAAAGGCGGCTGCTTGTGAAATTAATGTTGCAGATGGCAAACTTCATTTGTAAATGTACGAAATTTGGGAAAATGATATCATAGTGTTTTAGTTTAATCATGACATGTGTCATGCTGGCTCCGTGTCATTGAACTATTCCAGGAACACCCCAACTAGATGTCAGGCAAGCACTAGCTGACATGGCTGATGACAGAGGAATTATTATGATATTGGATAATTGACATTTATTTCACATTTTATGCTTGCGTCATTGACAGATGGGGACAACTTCCTTTTATTGTTCAAAGCTACTAACGTGCTACTATTGCAACCCCTGTGTGATAATTGCGCTGGGGTAGGTAATATTTCAACAAATACATCGTGGGTAAGAATCAACTGAGTGGGACTTCGTCACTAAACGAATCGAACCTGGGACTGAGGCATGACGAGCGAATGCTTGACCATGCTACCTAACTGTCCATCATGGCAAGGTGGCTATGTTAGAGAAGGTTGGGGAGGCGGTGGAATCTTGGCTTCAAAGTGGGGTTATTGCAACAAGCTACCTAAAACCAATTTTAATTGAAATAGCATCGAGTGAGTGAGTGCGTGAATATTTATTAACGCCACGTTCCGCAGCACCAGTCATATGAGGGCGGTCTGTAAATGTTGAGCTCACTCACTCGAATACCAGATTCGCCCTGATAATGATGTTTGACTCGTCAGCACCTTTCCCGTCCGTGCACGTGGTTTTCCTCAAAGTAACAGGACCCGTGAAGATCCGGGTTAGAATAGGTCTTCAGCAACCCATGCTTGCCGTAAAAGGCGACTAACGGGATTGGGTGGTCAGGCTCGCTGACTTGGTTGATGGATGTCATCGATCCAAATTGCGTGGATCGATGCTCATGATATTAATCACTGGATTGTCTGGTCCAGACTCGATTATTTACAGACCGCCGTCATATTGCTGACTTAAATAACAAACAAACAAACAAACATCAAAGTGATAAACCTCTACGACCGAGATGACCGATACACCGTTCAAAGAGTCGACTTACGCAAACCCACTCGCTCACTTTTAACACATCTTTGTTTACACTATCTGTGTGCTACATTCACAATTGTTATGCAGTATTTCATCTGTTCCTGTATCAGGTGACCGGAAGAGGCGCGACACTGTCCAATGTCTGAAATATGTCCCGGCCATTGATGCTTACGTCACGGCGTCACAGAAAGGCGCCCTCTCTATCTGGACAAACAAGGTGAGGCAACTCTGTAAGGAGGGAATGGACGCAAAAGTATTCATTCATTTAATCAAATTCTGGAAATGGAAATGTCAGTGGCACCACAAGTTCCTTGAGTCAACGTATCAAACTAAATTCACGGACATGTGACACTCGGTGAGTGAGTGAGTGAGTTGGGTTGAAACGCCGCTTTGAGTAATATTCCAGTTATATCACGGAGTCTCAGGCGTTTAGCACTTCGGTGAAACTCGCGAGCATGTGTATGGTGCTGACAAACCTATAAACATAATCGGGGCGAACAGGGAATCGAACCCAGGATCGCAGGTTTCTGGTGCGGCCAAGGGACGCAACTCTCTGTATTAAACCGTGGAGCAAACATTGCCCGCTCGTCACTGTGCAGAGTTGTGTCCCGTTAATGCCCCATTGCTCCCGTTTTGGACTGCGGTATCTTGGTTATCACCATAATCGGGCTCGTGTGTTGTCCTTAAAGTGGTAAACGTTCAAGACCTGCATTACTGCATGTTTTCTTTCCAAATTTAAGTGACACTCCGTATTTGACTGAAATGTTTTTTGTTCAAAGAAAACTTACTCACGCACTCCAAACCGGATCTTCCGCCGAGAGCGTTAATGCTCGTCCAGATAATAAACTGCACTTGACAAAATTACTCATTTGTTTGTTTTGTTTGTTTGTTTGTTTTTTAACGCCGCACTCAGCAATATTGCAGCTATATGACGGCAGTCTGTAAATAATAGAGTCTGGACCAGACAGTCCAGTGATTGACATCATGAGCATCGATCCACGCAATTGGGACAGATGGCATGCATCAACTAAGTCAGCAGCCTTACAACCCGATCCCGTTAGTCGCCTTTTACGACAAGCATTGTCGTCTTTTACAGCAAGCATGGGTTGCTGAAGACTTATTCTACCCCGGATCTTCACAAATTTGTACACCTACTCGTATGTAATGTCTCAACTTAATATTATAAATAATCCTATAATCCTATAATCCAACTTTTGTATTTCAGCTTCGGCTCCAGGCCTGCATTGACATCAATGTAAGTATGACTATACATGTTTCAAAACTTCAATTTGTTTGTTTTCTTTAACGTCGGCAGCCTGTAAATGATGTAGTGTAAGTACCAGACAAACCAGTGATTGATATTATGTGCAAAGTCTCACGACGGGATTCGATGACATGCGCCAAGTCACCGAGCATGACCACCCCATCCATTCAGTCGCCTCTCGCAACAAGCATGGATTGCTGGGAACCTTTTCTAAACCGGTATCCCAGAGGCTTTGGTTATACCTAGGGTTGTAATTGCAACTGAAAAGACAAAGAATTTAGTGTTAACATCGATGTATTGATATGTTTATTGAACAGAGATACCAATATAACGTATCAAGGTTTAGGATAGTGTCCTTTCTATGAACTGCTTCACCACGAAGACCGCCCAGAAAGAGGGGCCTCCGGAATAGCGAGATTTTACTGTATCTTGGTGATCTGTTGTTTGTTGTTTAACGTCGCACCAGCAGTATGCCAGCTTTATGACGGCGGTCTGTAAATGATCGAGCCTGGGCCAGACAATCCAGTGATTGATATCATGAGCATCGATCCAATTGGCATCGATGACATGTATCAACCAAGTCCACCAGACCACCCGATCCCGTTAGTCGCCTCTTACGACAAGCATAGTCGCCTTTTACGGCAAGCATGGGTTGCTGAAAACCTATTCTATCCCGGATCTTCACGGCCCTTGATGATCTGCTGAAGACTTAAGTACAACTGGTGTTTTATTGCAACCAACAGTTAACGTTTTCGATTTAAATATTAAGTTTATATCCATCGTAATTTATATACCCATTCCATCGTGAGAACGGTGTAAGAATCTACATGGAAACGTCGCCTGTGATGTTGCTGCGGTTGTAATAATGACCAGTCTGCGTTTCCCCTGTCCCCCAGGAGCCGGCGTGGGCCACAGGCTGTGACTACCTCCCCGTGCTCCGGAGGGTGGCGTGTTGCACAGAGAGGAGCATTGCCTTGTGGGACAACAGGGCCAAGGGCAAGAATCAGGTACGTGAATTAGGATTTAGACATGATGTATTTTCAAATTTGCGGATGTGAGTGAGTATTTGATGCCCAGCATTTGCAACCCGTGGTGTTAAAGAAGGAACTGGGCGACCATTACTGTTTCCGGTGCCTTACGTTTTATTTTCTTAACAATTTTCCCAACTATGTACGTTGATTACCTTGTATAAAGAGTTTAGAATAAGTAGCATCATTAGCAGAAAAAAGTGGCACGTAGCTATAGATTTTTGCTTATCATATTCTTGCGCCTCCGTGGTCTAGTGATAGAGCGTCCGCCCGGGAAAGCGGAAAGTCCGGTGTTCGATCTCCGGCCGCGTCATACCAAAAGACGTTAAAAGATGGTACTTGTTGTTACCCTGTCTGGCGTTCGGCATTAAGGGGCTAAAACAAGGACTGGTCGGCTCGCAGTCAGTATACTGTCTGGGTGGGATATTCATGTTAAACTGCGGCATGGTATCTCAGTGTGCTAGCACTATAAATCGGCATCAATCCGGACTAGTACAAGCAGCCACACAAACACATACACGTACATGCACGTCGCTATATAAGTGCAATAATCTTGGACGCGACGTTAAACCCCATTTCACCTCACCTCACCTGCTATGGTTATTACTGATTTCATAATTTTACGTTGTTGGGTAAACATAACCTACGATGTGATGTATATTGTTGCTTATCGCAGTGTTAATCAGGGTGCATGCATTTTGCATTCCTGCTCCCTGTGAAGTTAACCTATGTGTCTTCAAGTTTATACTCAGTATTTGTACGGTAAATAGTGGAAGATATTGGCGATACTCACGAAATCTTTCATTTTCTATTTGCAGCAAATCTTTACAATCAAACCTATTGAGCACTCTCCTCAGTGTATGACAAATATCCCCACATCTACCACCCCCCACGAGGACAAAATTCTGTTCGGCGACGACCAGGGCTACGTCAACCTTCTAACCATCTCAGCTAAAGACATGACGATGAAAAACTCAAAGGGGGAGAAGAATAACGCGCAGAACAACCTCGTCATTGACCCCAACAAGATGACGTAGTGAGCTCTTTTGTAAATTCAAAATGGCTGACGAAAACATATCTGAAAACCTTTCAGAAACCTTGAGGCATACAGTTTAAATATAAAATAACAAATAACAAACACAGAAAACGCAAATCCAAATTGTGGTTATCGACTAATTACAGGACATCTCGCAAATTTAATGGGTTCATATATATTTTCTCTAATTCAATTTTGTTATCTCAAATCTCTTTTGTATCGCTCAGATGTAAAGGTGAAGTCCCAGGAAATCATAATTTCAGTTTGTACTTTGCTGAAGCCTTCAAACCGAAATACGGCATTAACTGTGTATACGTTCATGCAGACACGCTTACAAGTATGTTTTGACACCGAAGCGTCAAGAAATATTATCACAAAAGTTGGTAACAGCAAGAGTCAGTGCCATTCTTTTCAAAATAGCCCGTTTTGTCCAAAATATATACATTTTAATCATCTTTTAGAGAATATTTCTTTCTTTAGCCTGTATGACAGGAACCGTGATATTGCAGGAAATATTTCATGACGAAACAGTTCAACACGAAAACTATTGTGCAAATCTTGCTCTTTTCTTGGCCTTGTTTATTGTTGGATCAAAGCTACCTACGACATGGCTGCATAGAGTTTAATAATTGCCGGGGAAAAGAAAGTATAGACTTGAAAATTTGAAGTGACTGAAATACAAGTGTATTACAAACATTATAAAAAACGTTACTAGCCTGAAAACAGTCACTGAAACACTGTAAACTACACTGTAAACCCGTGTCAAATACATCACCTTGTTTGTTTCACTTTTAGCCACCACGACACATAGGTGTATACTTTCTTTTGCCCGGCAGTTTAGACTAAAAATATAAAAAGAACTGACAATAATATAGACATTTTGGTTTTTTCCAGCCCCATTCAGAGAAGAAAACTCCATGACGATTGGGTGCTAAAGGTACAATGTAAATTTGTATATTACAACTGTATACAGTAAATCACCGTTAGTGCGGAATTTACTTCTTCAAAACTTTTTTATATTTATATGTCATTAGACAGTATTATACGTGCTAATGATTCGTTAATACAGAAATTTGATAGTGATTCATAAGAAGAAAAACATGCTGATGATATAGTAGGAATCATACAGTAGACACTTTTAGAATAATATTTTTCTTATTATCATTTTTATTTAGACCGGATGATTCCTCGGGAAACGGTGCGCTCCCTGTAGTGATTATTGCTAATGTTTTAGTTGAAATTATATATTGTTATTACGAAAAATGGGGGTTAATTATTTTGTTTTGTTTTGTTTGTTTGTTGTTTAAAACCCACACTCAGCAATATTCCAACTTTATGACGGCGGTCTGTAAATAATCGAGTCTGGACCAGTCATGGGAGTCATGGCATCGATCCACTGGGGGTTAATTAGTAACATAGTTATATAGTTAATGCTCAAAGGTAACGTTTTATCGTACATAGCTACTGGGGTGAAGGAATAATTAATTAGTACATTGTTACTAAGGTAGAGCTGATTAAATTGTACATTACAAATAGTTATTGGTGAGGATATAGTTGTATATTACACTGTTATCACGCTGAAGAACACCCGAACATTACATTGCTGGGACTAGTTGTACATTAAATAGTTTGTGGTAACCATACAGGTAAATATCAAATTTTATTTTCTTCAAAATAAATACAATATACTCAACTCCGAGTTCACAATACGAACTATATGTGTAGATATAGTTTCAAGGAGTGTCCTCAACGATGTGTACACTTGATACATTGCAGGTGAAGTATTTCCCCGACCTCCGGTGCTTCGCGTCCTGTTCCCCCTGCAGCACCAACTCCTTCTTCCTGGAGGAACTAGACCGACTCAACAACCACGACACGGAGTAAGTCTAGCCTGCAGTGCCGGGGTATGAGTATTCCTGGTCCGGTAGGGTTTGTTTGTTTGTTTGTTTGTTTGTTTGTTTGTTTGTTTGTTTGTTTGTATGTTTGTTTAACGCCCCACTCAGCAATATTACAGCTATATAACAGTGGTCTGATAGTCGAGTCTGGACCATGAGCATCAAGAGCTTCGATCCACGCAATTGGGATACGGTGACATGCATTAACCAAGTCAGCGAGTCTGACCACCCAATCCCGTTAGTCGCCACTTACGACAAGCATGGGTTCCTGAAGACATATTCTGACCCGGGTCTTTAGGGATCTGGTCCGATAGAAATCCTTGTAGCTTGTAACTAATCTCTAATTAAAGGACATGGGTTCCTAGCTTACAATGTCCTACCGTTCATTGATTCCGTATATACTGCGTGAAGGACCATGATTTCATAGGACTGTGGTGTTAGACCATCCATATTGTTAGCTCACCTGGCTTAAAGTTAAGCTAGTTATGTCATGTCCTCTTTGTCCGTCGTCCGTCGTGCATCTTCTTCTCCGGGACCACTCCAGTGATGAAGTTAACATGTCATTTACAAAAACATAGAATTCAGGACCACAATGAATTAATTATTTGTTCTTTGGAAGCTATACATTCTTTTATTAACGGTGTTTTGTGGTGTATCTCAGCAAGCCTATTGTTTTATTGTTAGACATTTTGACCAAAACCAAATAAATTTATAAGGCTTGCTATGTTATAAATATACCATACTGTTTATCGATCTCAAATTTAAATCCATGTTCAACAACAAAAACAATAAAACAAAAGAAATCGATATTTTATGCAACAGTGCCATCTATTAAAAGTTTTAAACGGCGTTGCAATCCAAGAGACAGCACTTGAATGCAGGGTTGAAGATTTCAATCAACGTAAATTATTTTGGTTAGAGTTATCTCCCTTGGACCGTCTTCTTTTGACCGGTGATGTGGGAGTTGATTGTGGAATGTGGTGGTTATGATTACCGTGCTCGTTTGATCATATAGATGATGGGGCTATATCCACGCATTATCATCAGCAGATTATGTATCTTTAGGATGCCTAACAATCGTTTAGCTACAGTACGTCATAATTCAATAAAATAATCACTAAACGTAAATTGTGTGTTTTCCAGGTTATAGTGTGCAACTGCTGAGATTGATGGATAAGCATAGTTACTTGTTAAACAGTATAAATTTTCATATCTTACTTAATGCTGCGGATAAAAAAAACAAGTGGTAATTATTTTTTAAATGTCAAACATAACATCAGGTGATACTAATAGATCATGCGAAGTTTATGCTTGTTTAAGTACCATATTTCCTCGATTAAGGGACTAGTCATTTATTGCCGACTTTTTGATGCGCTAATGTACTAAAAATAATTACCCTCATTCTCTTTCAAAATCCACCCTGAAAAGACCAATTGCAAAAGCACTTTTCATTTTTGTTGTTGCTAAATGTCCAATTTTGCATGACCCTTCCCTAATATGTGTATCATTTTGTATATTTTGTGTGACTGACTCCCCCTGACCCATTGCCACCCCCACCCACCAGCCCCACCCCACATAATAAATGACAGATCCCTAAAGAAGTTACTTGGTGCATCATCAATGCCGGATTTATTTCTGTGTAAATCTGGAACCTACTAAATAGATTGGCAAATGTGGACTTTCCTCCAACATGATGTTGGCATGTTTGTTTGGGACAAATACTTGTTCCATCAGTGCTTCTAGTGTTTCAGTGTGTGAAGCCCATTTCTGGTGTCCCCTGCCGTGATATTGCTGGAATATTGCTAAAAGCGGCATAAAACCATACTCACTCACTCACTCACACTAGTGTTTCAGGACATCAAGCATAGCCAGTGTATGATTTACATTTTGTGGTGAAATATGAGGACAAATAATTTTTTCCACTTTCTGGAACAAATTATTTTTTTCAAATCCAAGATCCCTGCAGAATTTCTGTAGACTGATCAGCCCCTCACTCCGCCATGGATTGTGGAATTTGATCCACACTGGATATGGCTATAATTTCTTAAATATTCTATTTAGATGTTTAATCTATTTTGTGAGTATTTTAAAGGTTAGCCACAAAACATATTTCCTCATTCCCAGTGGACCCCGCCGTGATATTGCTGGAATATTGCTAAAAGCGGCGTAAAACCATACTCACTCATTCCCAGTGGAACTTCTATATATGTTGCATTGTGACACAGTTGCTTTACCTCCATCCTCCAGAGAAGTCCGCGGAGTGTCTATCCCCAAGGGTGTCAACTGTTTCAACTACTGTACCAGGGCCAACATCATCGCCACCGGGGGAGTGGACAAGGTTGTCAGGGTGTGGCACCCACACATATTCTCACGGCCTACAGGTGAGTCACTTTCAAAAATAAAACTAATTAACTTACTAATTATTTCATAAATTAGTTGTCTCAAGATTTCAGCAATCTCATTAAAATCTGATATAAGTGCATTTAGATCATGTATTCTTATCTGAAGACCTGATCCTCTGTAGGAACTTGGATCTTTAGTGGGCAGTCTGAGTGCAGGCTTTTTAATTCTATTCAACATGTCTGATTCTATCTCTTGAAAATGAACCTAAACGTGCAGCTCTGAATGGAAAACAATAATGGCTGCTCTTTGTTGATGACTGCCATTTCTGAGCACCGTGGCATCTACTTCTTATATATCCCAGTACAAAAAAAGAGAGGTGTTATAGCTCTTAGCTAGCATTTAGGATATCTTTAACATTAGACAAACTTATCCTTGAATTGAGGAATTGTTACCAACATTTGCTGTAGACCAGGGTTGAATGGCAGCCTCTAAGAATGCCTAGACAATTCCCAGCTGTACATGTTTAGAATTCCAAGCTGCTGTCAATGTACATCTATCATTTTCACATGTTTGATTTCCAGGTAAACTTCTAGGCCACCTGTTCACCATTATAGAGATAGCCTGCAATGAGAGAGACCAACATATTATCAGCCTCTCCACCGCCAGGGTATTCCGGGTGTGGGATATACACACACTCACCTGCCTGCAGGTAAATAATTCACCTGTCACAGGTAAATAGTCTCATTAGTCTTAAAGGTAAACACTCTCACCTGTGGCAGGTCAATAGTCTCACCTGTCGGCAGGTAACTACACTCACCTGTCTGCAGGTAAATACTCTCACCTGTCTACAGGTAAATACTCTCACCTGTCTGCAGGTAAATACTCTCACCTGTCTGCAGGTAAATACTCTCACCAGTCTGCAGGTAAATACTCTCACCTGTCTGCAGGTAAATACTCTCACCAGTCTGCAGGTAAATACTCTCACCAGTCTGCAGGTAAATACTCTCACCTGTCTGCAGGTACATACTCTCACCTGTCTGCAGGTAAATACTCTCACCTGTCTGCAGGTAAATACTCTCACCTGTCTGCAGGTAAATACTCTCACCAGTCTGCAGGTAAATACTCTCACCAGTCTGCAGGTAAATACTCTCACCTGTCTGCAGGTAAATACTCTCACCAGTCTGCAGGTAATGCAGGTAAATACTCTCACCTGTCTGCAGGTAAATACTCTCACCTGTCTGCAGGTAAATACACTCACCTGTCTGCAGGTAAATACTCTCACCTGTCTGCTGGTAAATACACTCACCTGTCTGCAGGTAAATACACTCACCTGTCTGCAGGTAAATACTCTCACCTGTGTGTGGAAATTATCATAATGGCCCATTGTTCTATTGTTATTTATGTATCAATGAGTATGAATTTTGTAATTTGACAAACTGGTCACCCACATTATTTCTTCTTGAAACCTGCAGACAGTATGAAACTTACCTTTGCCTCTATCATGAATGTTGTGTGGTTAGTATGCACCATGGATTAAATGCATGGTTACCTGTGGTTGCCAGGTGTTCACAGACAACGAGGAGAGGCCAGGTGAGAAGAGGATATACTCCATGTTGTTTGACAATAAACACGAGAGGCTAATGACAGGTGAGTCAGCAATATAATATCAATGATTTTTCAAAGATAAAGTTTCAAATAGTTTTGATTTCAAATAATTTATTTTTTGTATCATATAATGGGAATGTTTCTCGGCAGGATAGAGCCAACAGATAAAAATGATATCTGTTGGGGGGTCATATGCAGAAAGAGATGCAAATATCAAAGGTGAAGTAAGGACTACTTTCAGTGTTTACAAAACAAACGTGGTGTCGCCCTTGTCATTCAGCGATCAAATCAGAATTAACCATCGAAAATCGGGTGAAACTCCTGGGATAATTGCTATCATTATCAAAAGAATATGCTAATAAACTGAAAGTCAGTATCTAACTGTGACGTAGCTAAGGCATTTTACAAGTTTGTGCAACTTTGGAGATATAAATTGCGAAACAAAATTTGGCATAGCAGGATCAGTTTCCATATCTGTGCTTGTAGACCTCTGCGGCTTTACACATCCAGAAACCACAATCCACATTTCATGACCCACAACCCTCATCCACAGACCAGAATCCACATTCCACATCCAACAATCCACATTCTACAACCCATATTCCACATTCCACAACCCGCAACCCACACTCCACATTCCACAATCCACATTCCATGACCCACAACTCACAAGCCACAAGCCACGACCCACAACCCACAACCCACATTCCACGACCCACAACCCACATTCCACAATCCACATTTCATGACCCACGACCCACGACCCACATTCCACGACCCACAATCCATATTCCACACCCACAATCCATATTCCATGACTCACAATCCACATTCCACAACCCACATTCCACAACCCACATTCCACATTCCACACCCACAATCCATATTCCATGACCCACAACTCACAATCCACATTCCACAACCCACAATCCACGACCCACAACCCATATTCACATTCCACATTCCATGAACCACAATTAACCCACAACCCACAATCCACATTCCACATTCCACGACCCACGAGCCTATTTTTAACATTCCACAGCCCACACCCACACCCACACCCACACCCACACCCACACCCACACCCACAGCCCTCATACATCAGTCCTATATTTCATGATGTTTCTCTTGTGAATGTGCTACTGCACTGAAAACCATGGTACAATGTATATATCGAAAACACTACCGGTACTATATCACTGTCTTGTGACAAACACTCAATCAGACATGAAACGGAAGATGTAAACAGATATCAGCTGGAACTCCGGAAGTGATGAAGACAGCCTGTAAAGTCTGAAACAAGATGACATAATGAATGTCCCGTGATACAGAAACAAGAATAACATCCGGCGCCTAAAGAGATCTGGCCTGGCTGCACAAAGAGGTTGAAACAAATCTGTCACTTGTTGCGTGTCCATTCCAACAAGAAAATATGGCAAAACAAAATTAGAAGCAGATCCAGAATTGTGACAATGGGGACAATAAATTCAAGTTGTTTTTTTTTAAACAGTTATGGTGAAATGTGGGGATATAATTGGTTCCCCATTAGAGATATACAGCCTTGGAAAGGGAAAGACAATGTCAAGGTGCCAATTTTGTCTTCTCCTAATGCACATGAAAATGTCATCAAGCTAGTTTTATTTGTTTGTTGTTTAATACCGGACTCAGCAGTATTCCATTTTTATGATGGCGCTCTGTAAGTAATCGAGTCTGGACCAGACAATCCAGTGTCTTACATCAAGAGCATCAATCAGAGCAATTGGGATACGATGACATGCATCAACCAAGTCAGCGAGCCTGACCACCCGTTCCTTTTAGTCGCCTCTTTTGACAAGCATAGTTGCCTCATACAGCAAGCATGGGTTGCTGAAGACCTATTCTCTACTTGGATCTTCTCGGGTCCATCAAGCTAGTCTGGGCTGTCTTGACAAATGGTTTGGATGTAGATTAACTGTGTTGAAAGATTGATCAACCTGGATAGACATATGGGCAATTATTATAGATAGACATATGGCCATATTATCATCATTATTATGAAATGATAAATTCATATGATCACATCATCCCTCTGGCAACCAGGTTTTGTTTCACATAGGAAATTAGTCTTCAAAGAATCTCACCATGACTTAAACGCAAATTAGGGATACGGCTGACTGGAAAATATATCAGAAAATGAAATGACAATAAATATATTTTGTCATCCAGCACCTTGATTTTATCTGCCAGTTGGCAGAAGTCAGGATGATTTCTTGTTTTTTTGTTTTGTCAATATTAATAAAGGAAATTGACAAATAAAAAAAACAGTCGAAACTAGATTGGCAGGGGAGATAACTCTGTTTCCACCAATGTTTCAGGGTCCAGTGTTCTCGATGCCTGGCCTCTGACCCGGTCAGTTCAGGACACCATGCAGGTGCCACACACACACGACCGACCACTCAGTCAGGTGAGTTGAGTTTAAAACAGGAATTTGACCATAGACTCATCCACACAAGTTGTAAAAGCCAATATTGTTTTTTGTTTGTTTGCATGCTTAGTATTATTTGATGCATTATTTACATGGTAATATTAAAAAAATGAAGAATTCTCTAGTCTAGGGGGTATCGACATGGCAATATACACAAGTATTTCAATAACAAGAAGATACTTCTGTCATTTGGGTCCAAACATTATTTTCAAAAGAGATCCTGATTTCCAGTAAATGATTTTTAACGTATTTATTGCATGTACCGTATTCAACGTAATAAGCTCTAATAAGCGCCCACGGCGATATTTGTTAATATATTGGCTAGCGAACAATCCCAATAAGTCACCCCTTCCGATTGATCAATGTGCACAAGACTTATTTATTCATGTATGATACGCACTCGTGTGTTATGTGCATCTTTAATTATGGGCAATTATATTCTGGAAAATATATCTGTCGTTTATAATATGCACAGACTTTTCTTTTGTATCATTTCAGGCTGTCCGCATAAACCACGACTCTTTTTTCTCACTAAAATTGTATTCTAATAAGAGCCCCCTATTTCTAATTTTAAGAGCGCCCTGGGCGTTTATTATGTCAAATACGGTAATCGTTAAACGTTAATCTATGAAAAATCAAAATATTTTTTTATGTTTGGGTGCTATATTGATAAAAACATGCACATTTGCGTATTTCCCTATTCGTGCAACGACATTCAACTGATGATGTCCTACAGTGCTATTGTAAGCAAGGATTATATCCTACATAAATATAGTATCCTACCTTAGTGTGGGAAATCTGTGATAGGTTATGTCCAAAAATTAAGAGTAATTCATCCCAGTGAAACATACCTACAGACTGTAAGTGGAAATAGGAAAATGTATACTGGGATGATTTACACTAACTTGAATCGGTGTATATTATCCCATGACAGACTTCCTTTGCACATGCATTGCATGCTGTCATGACATGTTATTTATGTTGATACTTGCATTTTAATTATGTTTGGTTGGGATGTGGGGTGAGAAATGTGGGGGTAAATATATGTTGATAGGATTAAACACACTGATATGGGTTCAAATTCACTAGGGAGAATCATCCTGACACCAGAGAATTTCATCCCCGGGGTAGGATAATATTCGCTCTTACACTATGACATTGTGCAACAAGGTTACGATGCAGTGACATCATTGTTAAAGCTCTGAAGCACTACTCTTATAAACTTTTGCTGCGAGGAATAAGAAGCATGTCCTGAAACAGTAATTACCATATTTCCTCTAAAAAACACCTGGGCTGTGACTTATTCATTGAAAAAGCTTTCCAACACGGCGGGTAATGGAGGCCCAGCAGTAATTTGACACCCAGTGTTGCATACGCTAAAGTCACTAATAAACTGACATACAATCAGAGCGCCAGATAAGCTTTTGGTGTTGTGGGTATTTTACCAATGTATTTTAAAATCATTGGGGATCAGTAATTCTATCTGGGTATTCAAATTTCTGTTTCCCACTAGTTTTTACACATGTGGGTATTTAAGTTAAATATTTAAAAACACTATTCATCTAGTCCCTGCAAACTGGTGTTGTGTGGGTTCCAGAGCTTTATAGGACTCAACAATACCACGATACTTCCACAAGAAAGTGTGATGGCAAATGATCATGATGTAACTGTCATCTTGGAGTTTGGCAAGGTTGACGGAATGCCCGTTTATAATTTCAAAATAAGTTGCTGATTTGCTAATCGAATAGACAGGGTTACTTCACAATATTTTGATGATACGCACAAGTTTTATTTTTTTAGCGTATCTGTAATGTCCGTTTCATATTTGATATGCTTGGATTTTATTTTACTGCGTATTTCTGCATTTCTGATGCGTATTTTACGCAGATACGCAGCTTATCTGGAGCTCTGATACAATAGGATTTTATGTTCTGGATACAAAATTTATTTCCAGACAGTAGGAACTTAAACATAATAATATGAAATGGCAACAAAAACTCTTTGTGTGGAGTGTTAACCAAAGAACAACAAAATGGATATCTACATGCTGAGAATAGTTATCAACTCTGTTATTAGTGGTACGCTTATTGAAGGCGGGATCCCATTAGAGAACCAGTGCTTACTAGAGGAAATATACTAATTCACTTTTGTTTGACATAAAAATGCTGTATCTTTGAAGAATTGACCTTTAGCCTATGATTCTCAGTTTGACCGCTTTATATTTGAGATAGATTGTCTTGAGTATTTTGTTAAAGTACTCCAGACACATGACAGTTCGGGTTGCGCAGGGTCACCCCGATTATGTTTCTAGGTTTGTCAGCACCATACCCGTGCTCGTGGGTTTCACCGAAGCAGTAAACGTCTGAGACCTGCATCACTTCGGGCTTTCCTCCCACATTAAGCTGACACGCCGCGATATAACTGGAATACTGTTAAAAGCGGTGTTAAACTCAACTCACTCACTCACTCAGGTTGCGCAGTGAACGCAAAACATCAGCAGACATCCTTAAAACCAACTCAGGCCCTTACACCAGTTGTTGTGTTGGACTGTTTCAGATATTATACAACTCCGAGTTGCACCAAGCTGTGTCCGTGTGCACTGAGTCTATTATTAAGGTAGGTGAGATCGACCATATTCAACATGACATGTTTTTGTATTAGATTTTGCTGTTTCATGAACTGAACACTTTTGAAGATTTCGTCCACTAATTGTGAAATGAATAGGTGTATATGCTGCATTCTGATTGATTTAATAACACATGGTTGAATGAATTCAAAGTTAGAAATAATTCGGACATTGCACTGTGTAAGAATGCTATTGTTCATAAGTATCATATCCCAAATTTTAAACATATTCCAATGGTCATGATAACACGAATATCACATCAACTATATTATACTTGATTAATATTTATCAGATAGAATTCCCAGGTTGTCAATCACAGGATTGTCTGGTTCAGACTCGATTATTTACAGACCACCGTAAGCTGGAATCTTGCTGAGTGCGGCGTTAAACAACAAACAAACAAAGAAAACAGATAGAATTCTGCCAATCTGGCGTTATAGCATTCTTTAGTATCATGTCTAATTGACGGCTGTTTGTGCGCACATAGAAATATGGTGCCACTCAGAATTAGCTAAATGTTTTATTGTTTCACAATGTTGATAAACATTATGAGTGTTTGATTTTGAAAATTTGATGCCCCATCATTGAAGACAGTCTATAAGTTCCATGTGATATTTCAGTACATTGATGCTCATTGACACCTACCATATTTTCTTGAGTATAGTGCGCACCCAAGTATAATGTGCACCCCCTTCTAGCAGATTCAGTATTTTGAGGGAAAAAAATCATACATTATGCGCAGAAAAAAATTACATCGTTCTCCTTCAGGGAATTCCAGGAAATGAATGGGTGATAAGAAACTTGGCCAGTACAAATTTGAAATTTGATATACAAAATCGACAGACATGTTCATCTACCGTTTAGATTGTATTTTTTGTTCTGCTAGGCATTCTTTTACATCCAGGGATTAAGATTACCGGTGTTATGTGGTAGGTAATGTCTTTGCGTGGGGGAAAAAAACCTCAAAACTCATTATGGTGTGTATAATGCGCACCCCCTTCTACACAGCTGTATTTTGGGGGGAATAAGTGTGCACTATACTCAAGAAAATATGGTACTTGTTTAGTTTATCTTCAAATGAACCATTACACTGCATGACACTCTCAGAAACTCAGAACTAGGAAGTAGAGAATGGATTATATAATTGGTGGAAATCAAAGATTGGGAAGCTCAGAGGTTCACGGCCCCCGAGGATCACAGACCTATTGATGTGTGTGATGTGTTCTAGATGTGGGAGATGGAGACAGGCAAGCTTGTCTACTCTATCGCAGAGACCCACAGGGATCACAGACCTCCTATTGATGTGTGTGATGTGTTCTAGGTGTGGGAGATGGAGACAGGCAAGCTTGTCTACTCTATCCCAGAGGCTCGAGGCCCCCGGGGTGGGATCACGGACCTCCTATTGATGTGTGTGATGTGTTTTAGGTGTGGGAGATGGAGACAGGCAAGCTTGTCTACTCTATCCCAGAGGCTCACGGCCCCCGGGGTGGGATCACGGACCTCCTATTGATGTGTGTGATGTGTTCTAGGTGTGGGAGATGGAGACAGGCAAGCTTGTCTACTCTATCCCAGAGGCTCACGGTCCCCGGGGTGGGATCACGGACCTCCTATTGATGTGTGTGATGTGTTCTAGGTGTGGGAGATGGAGACAGGCAAGCTTGTCTACTCTATCCCAGAGGCTCACGGTCCCGGGGGTGGGATCACGGACCTCCTATTGATGTGTGTGATGTGTTCTAGGTGTGGGAGATGGAGACAGGCAAGCTTGTCTACTCTATCCCAGAGGCTCACGGTCCCCGGGGTGGGATCACGGACCTCCTATTGATGTGTGTGATGTGTTCTAGGTGTGGGAGATGGAGACAGGCAAGCTTGTCTACTCTATCCCAGAGGCTCACGGCCCCCGGGGTGGGACCTCAGACCTCCTATTGATGTGTGTGATGTGTTCTAGGTGTGGGAGATGGAGACAGGCAAGCTTGTCTACTCTATCCCAGAGGCTCTCGGTCCCCGGGGTGGGATCACGGACCTCCTATTGATGTGTGTGATGTGTTCTAGGTGTGGGAGATGGAGACAGGCAAGCTTGTCTACTCTATCCCAGAGGCTCACGGTCCCCGGGGTGGGATCACGGACCTCCTATTGATGTGTGTGATGTGTTCTAGGTGTGGGAGATGGAGACAGGCAAGCTTGTCTACTCTATCCCAGAGGCTCACGGCCCCCGGGGTGGGACCTCAGACCTTCTATTGATGTGTGTGATGTGTTCTAGGTGTGGGAGATGGAGACAGGCAAGCTTGTCTACTCTATCCCAGAGGCTCACGGCCCCCGGGGTGGGACCTCAGACCTCCTATTGATGTGTGTGATGTGTTCTAGGTGTGGGAGATGGAGACAGGCAAGCTTGTCTACTCTATCCCAGAGGCTCACGGCCCCGGGGTTGAGATAACGGCACTTACGCTGGACCAGTCAGGGTACAGGCTAGTCAGTGGAGGATATGATGGTATGTTACCAGTGAATATTTTGTATACATGTATCAGGGTGTGAAGTCATCCCACAGATCATGTGCTTATCTTAATTGTCAACTTGCTGACAGGGTTAACCTCTTTGGTCATGTGGACAATGTGTCTAACCATGGGAGAAAAGGTTGATTGTTCGAATCTGATAACAGGCGCCCAACAATGGGCTCAGCACGTTTATATCAAATTTGACAAATAATAAGTCTCAGTACCCTACTATGCACCCTGAGATGTGCCTCTGTAAATGGGGAAACTTATTTAGCTGGGCATGGAGACTTCCCACAGTTGACAACCAGCTTGTTGACAGGGTCAACCCCTTTGGTCATGTGGAAAAGGTGTCCAACCTAAGATCAGAAGGTCTGTGTTTCGAATCACATCATTGGACCTGGAAATTTTATGGCTGTACATACCGTCAAACTTGTAAATCTGAAACCAGATTACTAAAAAAAAATGGATGAGTATAGAAACTGTCACCATGTCCTATTGACCTTAATTTATCATCATATGGAACCACATAAACTAGAATCAAGTAAATAAGAAACGGGTGCAGGTCAAAAATTTCATTGGTCCCCTGAGTTTTATAAAGCAAACTGGTCATTTATCTAGAAAGAACTATTGAACTTATCGAACTTGAACATGTACAATTACTATGTTGTTATTGTAATTGCGCCTTGTTTGGTGATATTCGAAGTGTAGAATGGAAAATAGAAGAGGGAAACACTTTAAGGTGGCAAACCGGGAAAGTAGATATTCTTTGTTCAGTCCAAAACTGGATAAGTAGATGTTTTTGGTTCAGTCCCAAACTGGTTAAGTAAATATATTTGGCTAAGTCCCAACTGGATAGGTAGATATTTTTGGTTCAGTCCCAAACTGGATAAGTAGATATTTTTGGTTCAGTCCCAAACTGGATAAGTAGATATTTTTGGCCCAGTCCCTTGATTTGCAACTTAACAAGAGACAGCAGTATATTTATTTATTAGCTCATCATATTTGTGATAACAGATTTTGATATTCAATTGTAGGTAAAATCATTACAATTAAAGGTGACCAGAAGTGACACACGTTCCCACAGTTGCACACAAATCCAAAAGGGTTCCTGATTTTGCAGGTTCAATCAAGATCTGGGACTTTGGTGCCGGCCAGGAGATCAAGTCCAAGTCAGGACGAGGCACTGAGGAAGACTTCAGCATCACTGGGTTGATATACAAGAAGTACAGGGATGACTACATCATTGTTGCTGCCGGCTGGAACAACAAGATCAGGCTGCTGCTGGTAGGCGCTTGCTAGCCCTGTAGGTTCCAGGCCACGGGGAAGCCTAGGGTTAAAGTATTAGCTCATCACGCTGAAGGCCTAGGTTCTGTTCTCCACACACAATGTGTGGAACCCATTTCTGGTGTCCTCCACCGTGATATTGCTGGAATATTGCTGCAAATGGCTTAGAACTGGCTCTCTCACAATAGGTTCTGTGTAGCTTGCGTTATATGCCCTGGGTGGTATAAAGATTAATATAATGCTCATGCTATCATCCATCTGTTTGCCTGATCCAGGCCTGATTTCCCTGTTGTGTGAAATTCATTCACTGCCTTCACTCACACTCCGGTTCACTCACAACCACTCATTAACTGTCTATCTCATTCACTCACTCAGTTAACCAATCTCATTCAAACATTTATTACCTCACTCACTCACTACCTCGCTAACTCGTGAAGATCTGGGGTAAAATAGGCTTTCCGCAACCCATGCTTGCGTAAAAGACGACTATGAGTGTCTGAAGAGGCAACTAATGGGATTGGGTGGTCAGGCTCGCTAACTCACCCACTAACACACTCACTCATTCAATAATTCATTCACTCATTAACCATCTCAGAACTCACACATTCATACACTCACTCACTCATTCACCAACCCACAGGTTTATCAACTCACTCATTCACCCATTCACTCACTCATTCACTCAATCACTCGCCAAATCACCCTTTTCACTCTATATCATCCACTCACTCACCCACTCACTCAGTCACCCACCCCATCAAATACTCATTCAACTACACTCATTCACTCATTCATCCACTCAGTGATTGTCTGGTCCAGAGTCAGTAATTTACAGACCACCTGGAATATAGCTGGCATATTGCTGAGTGCGGCATTAAACAACAAACAAACACCAAGTCAATCATTCCCCCTGTCACCCCTCCTTCCCTCACTCACTCCATCCATTGTTTTGGCCAGGATGCTGGGGACAACAACGACCTGTCTGTGACCCGAGAGTTCAGTGACATCTACTACATGACCCGGGAGGTCAGCATCTGCTCGACCTCCTCCCCCGACCCGTTCCGGTCTCCTCCACTGCCTGCTATAGGAGAAGGGTCTGGCATCACCAACGTCTTCAAGAAGGTAGGAACACTTCTGATGATGATGATGATGATGATGATGATGTGAGGTACGGGTTGTAAACATCTTCATCGTCTTCATCACTTTGAATTGTTGAAAGGCAGCATTAAACCCAATTTCATTCAAATCAGATCTTTTACCTTCTGGGGTGGTGGGGTAGCCTATTGGTTAAAGTATCACTCATCACACTGAAATCTCGGGTTCGATTTCCCACATGGGTACAATGTGTGAAGCCCATTTCTGGTGTCCCTTGCTGTGATATTGCTGGAATATTGATAAACGCGGTGTAAAGCCAGACTCACTCACTCACTCACTCACTCACTCACTCACTTTTACTCTCTGAGGGCACTGCTGCAGCAGGTCACATGAGGGGAAGTTTCTACTCACCCAATCAGCCAGTCTGCACGTCTTCTAAATTTTTGATATGGGTAAGCCACTCATTTGGACCAGCAAATGTAATTTCTATATCCAGAAAACAAACATAAAATGACCAGTTCCGAATGTAGATAATTGTTGTAGATATTTTACCAAGATTGCAGTATACTTTCTGTCATTTTGGTAAGGGATGTGCTCAAGGTTCTTCCTTTGTAACATTTTCTAAGTTGTTCAGCCGTCATTTTTAGCTGTTTTGCTGAATTAACACAAGTCCTTGTAAGCTTTAGTAGGTACCAAAGTTGACAAACTATATGTTTTTTAAATGTTTTCTTAAATACATCTAACTGATGAGTTATGGAAGTTCTATTTTTTAGTATTTTTTTATGTTGATGTCTGATTTTCAATGTTTATGAATTGCTTTGATATTCAGTTTTATGGTTGAATCATTAAACCATACAAATGCAAGCTGAGTAATTTTTTCTGCTTATTTTAAGCCTTATCCCCTATTTTTCAAAAAGTCACGCTTTCACATGCCCTGGTATTAGAAACATCAATCCCGATATTTCATGGTAAATAAATGAAGCTGAATCATTTTAGAAAGATGACATTTGTCACTTAGAATGGTTGTTCAGTGTCCTTCGGTGGATTTGTCCTCAGATCTTAATGCAGGGAGGTATTGTTTCAGAGCAAAATGATGAATGCGAATGCATTAAACACAACTCACTCTCTCACTCACTACAAGATCAAGCTAGACTAGACTTACATTAAGTCTCTGAATGAAAATGTTTTAATTTGTTAAATTTTGTGATTTTGTACAGAGGAATTGTAGGTTTGCCAACATATTATAGACTTTTTATGTTTATTTTTATTTTTATGTCTCCCCCAAAGGGATTGGAGATGTGTTTTGTTTTTGGCTCCCTTCTCATCGGATTTGATGGTGATGTTCCATTTCTATTCCGAGCCATAACTTGAAAACCATTCTATGTTTTTCAACAAAACTTGGCTTATGCATTGCTCATCAGTTCAACTGGTGCCTTTTGCTATTTTAATATTTTTCAATTTATTTTGTTACATTTTCATGGAAACAATCAAGGCTTAAACAACTCTAGGCTTCGTTTCTGAGCCATAACTCTCTAACTAATGAATATTTTTGCGTACAATTATAGATATGCAATGACCTCATTCTCAAATATTGCATTTTCATATGTTGCATTTTTTGCCTTTTTTAATTTATGGTATTTCCATGGAAACAGTTTGGACTAATGTATCCAAAAAAAGAAGGGGAGTAAAAACACATCCTTGTTTTAAATATTATTGGTTCTGTGATACTATAGAGACTATGACATTACTAAAATACTGTCCACTAATAACCATTAAATCCACTGATCAATTATAAGCCTCATCCGTGAGACCAGCCAATCATTCCACGCTGATGGCATGGAACACTGCTCAATGTACCAAACTTCAGTTGTCCTGCTTCTAGGTGTATTATATTCACAAGGATGCCCTGATATAGCATGATTATATTTCAGAATGGCAGCCAACTTTATTCTCTCACTCACTCATTTCAGGATTATGTGTTGATGGCGAATGAAGTGACCTGCATGGCATTAGTGGCTGATGGAAATAACTCAAGTGCCACGTTTATCGCCACGGGGATGAGCAATGGGAACGTCATCCTCTGGGATGTCGAGAAGGCTGTGGTGGCCAAAATGTGAGTGTACCGGTGATGATGATGATGATGATGATGATGATGATGGCAGCGGTGGTGGTGAGAAGGCTGTGGTGGCCAAAATGTGAGTGTACCGGTGATGATGATGATGATGATGATGATGATGATGAACATGTTTCGTCTACAGGTTTGAGTTACCTCCCCCTGAAGCAATGAGCGCACAGAGTCGTCGTCGATTAAAACAGAGCGGAGAACGCCGGGTAAATGACATCAAGGTTCTCGTCCACAAAGTCCGCAAGTTGGACCCTGATTACATCAAGTAAGTTGTGATGGTATAGGTTTCTTATTGTTAATGCAAGGCTTTTATAGAACTTTCATTTTGAAAGAAAATAGGAAAATAAAAATACCCGAGTTGTTCAGAAAAGGTTTGCCTGGTACCAAGATACCCGTGAGAGATAGTGGGTTGCTGAAGCTTTGGGCATTGTTTCACACTCACGTAAATAAAACACAGTTATAATATTACTGTCACTTAATGAAAACTTGAAAATGAATTATTATTTCTTTGTGTGTCATGAAATACAGAACAGTATCTCAGCATTTGAAAAATGGTGCGAGTGATAGTGTATCAATTATTATTATTTTGGGCCACACCAAATCAATTACTTGTTACTTTTCACCCCCAAACCATGAAGACACCTTAAAGGTTACTAGATAGGATTACAATGCTACGGAATGTATTTTTTTATTTCTTAAAAATAGCTTAAAAAAATCATTTAAATTGGTCTGGCCAAAATAAGCAGAATATTTTAATAAAAGGAAATAGACCAGAATCCAAGGGAATAAAAGATAATAAATACCTATACAAAACTATGCAATTTAATTATGCTCAATGGTTCAAAATCTATCCCGATGCTGCACGAGGCAGAATGATTTGGCTGAGTACAGCATCAGTGAATGTCTCTCCATCCACAGAGGCCTGACGGTGGGGCATCAGGTGGATGCTGACGAGGATACGAGTATTTCAGGCGGCAGTCAGCAGCCCTCACGAGCATCAATCTACTCCGACTCCAAACACATCAATGTAACTATTCACAATACAATTGTGTTTCAATATTTTGAAACTGATAGTGCATGTGTTGATGCACAACACAATATATCCTCCCATGTATAAATTTAAGTTTTAAGATCTGCAACATACCTAACTTCTTGAGGTAGTGTTACGTTACAGCCTATCACAACTGATCATAACATCTGATTGGATAATACTTTTAGAACTAGATTAACCAGTCCTGATGCTTAACACAAACTGGTTGGTTACCACCTACTTTGGTAGCCAGCCCACATGGAAACATTGGCACAGTGTAAGTATCAGGATCTGTGTCGTATGGTGACCCAAGTATCGTGACCATAATTTTAGCAATATCCTAGCAGTCTGGTGAGACATTTTGAATGAGGCTTTCAACATTGTGCCTTTTTATCCCCCTGGCCTAAAATGCGGGGTGGGGGGTGGGGTGGATAGTTATCGTTTTTTATTTTTATAAGACAGTTTCCTTTTTGATCATATTTGTAGTTATTTTAAAAAAATTTGTTTGTAATACATGTTAAGTAATAAGCGCCCACAGCGATATTTGCTAATATATTGGCGAGTGAACAATCCCAATTAGCACCCCTTCCGACTGATCAATGTACACAAGACTTATTTATTTGTGTATAATACGTGTGTTATATGCATCCTTAATTATGGGCAATTAAATTCTGGAAAAATATATCTGTCGTATATAAACATTTCAGGCTGTCAGCATAAACCACGAAATTTACGATCTTTCAACTCACTTGTTTTTCACTAAAATATTCCAATAAGAGCCCCCTATTTCTTTTTTGGGGGACATTTTTTATTCCTTTCAAAGGGTTGTACATCAGGTTCCAAGGTTGTACAGTAGGTTTAATCAATTGTAGTGAACATACGTTACATGGATGTACGTTTCTTGTGATATAAATATAGCATGTATAACTAAAATATATATTTATACACATGATATGTTTCAAGAAAAGCATGAAAAGTACCGATAGTCAGATATGAGCATTTATGATAGTATTGCTATTTGAGGCGTTACTGATCTATAGCGTTATTGTACGGGGCATGATTATTATTTTAATTTGTGTAGGATTTTTCCCAATTTTCGTTCAAATTGTAATAGACCATTGTTTTTTGTGGCAATGAATCTTTCAATCATAGCTGACTCTATTAGTATTTTCCTACAATTATCGGAGCCCCCTATTTCTAATTTTAAGAGCGCCCTGGGCACTTATTATGTCGAATACGGTGTATATTCACTAATTTTGAAATGTAGATTATTGAAGACAAGAGTGATCCGGTGGATGGATCCAGGTCAGATAGACAGAAGGACAATAAAGAAATAGAGGACGAAGGACAGGAGAAACAGGACGAACAACCTGAATGTAAGTCGGTCGATGTGTTTAATATTTTCTTGGCCTGAAGCGAGAGATCGGGGTTGCTCTAGGTATGATGTTATATTCTCCATGATTTTCAGGAGCATGGGAAATCCAAGGCACAGCAATGCCTTATTGCCTCCCTTATTCAGGTCAGGATCTGATTGTTATGGGTTTGAATCCTGAATCCACCCTGATTTTGATTCTTAGTATGTCAACACTCTACTCATGGTCATCAAACATGTCTGTGGACAGCCACATCTGCATTTGTCAAAGCAAGGTTCAACTCACTGGCTCTCCAGGCATCGCTAGGGCATAAAACACAAATAAATGATTGTAAGAAGTGACTGAAAAACAATAAGTTCTCAAGCAATGGTTTCACAAGCATGGAGTTGATGAGGTGTCCAATTACTTTCATCGTGATCACCCTGGAAGTAGGTCATTCATTTTTAAAGTAAAACCAAATTTTGTCACCCGAGATCTCACAAAAATATTACTCATAAACCCTTCTTCATAAAGGCAATAAACAAATAGTCTAAACAAGACGACTCAACTCCTCATAGGGATATTGTGCTAGCTCACACTCTTAAGAAAGTCGGGAGACAAAACCCCCTTCTATTTTTTTATGTTGAATTGAAGTTAAAACAAGTGTCAAGCCTGGCCCAAATCTCAACCTATTGGTACAACAACATCTCCCAACAACCAGTCAGGGACCGCCTCCGTGGTCTAGTGGTAGAGCGTCAGCCTGAAGAGCGGAAGGTGTGGGTTCGATCCCCGACCGCGTCATACCTAAATACGTTACAAGATGTTACTTGTTGTTACCCTGTCTGGTGCTCAGTATTAAGGGGATGTAACAAGGACTGGTCGGCTCGGTGTCAGTATACTGTGTCTGAGTGGGGCATTCATATTAAAACTGCGGCATGGTATCTCAGTGGGCTAGCACTATAAAATCGAATCAGTCCGGCCTATTAGAAGCACACGCATGCACGCATGCACGCATGCACGCATGCACGCACACACGAATATATAAGTGCAATAATCTTGAAATGGACGTTTCACTTCACCTTACAACCTGATTTATTCCCAACCCACACTCAGAATATCGTTATCCAATTTTGAATAGTATTTCTGTGAATAGGAATGTAGAATATATGCAACATGAGCTGAAATATTGCTGACTTCAGTGTAAAAACAACATTCACTCATTGTAGTTCCCAAGGAGAAGAATGAGGAGAAGGTGAGGGAGAAGAAGAAGAAGCGAGTCCGGCATGCGGATGAGGAGAAGAAGAAATCAATGATAGACCCCGACGCCACCCTGATAGTGGAGACGTTTGACCCTGTCATTGTCACTGTACATCAAGACTCACACATACGATTTTGGAATATGGAGGTAAGTTTCACACAGGTAATAGTGAGTGAGTGAGTATGGTTTTACGCCGCAATACTCCAGCAATATCACGGCAGGGGACACCAGAAATGGGCTTCACACATTGTACCCATGTCGGTAATCAAACCCGGGTCTTCGGCATGACGAGCGAACGCTTTAACCACTAGGCTCCCCAACCGCCACCACACATGTAATAGGGAGCACTGGTGACCTCATCGTCAAAAGGCACTGCAATTCACTGTGCAGAGTTGGGTCCCTTAGGCAGTCCAGAAACCTTATCTTGTGGGTTCGAATCCCGGTTCACCCCGATTAAGTTTCTAGGTTTGTCAGCTCCATATCCATGCTAGTCCAAGACCTGCATCACTTAGGCTTTCCTCCCACATTAAGCTGATGCGCTGGGATATAAGTGAAATACTGTTAAAGTTGGCGTTAAACCAAACTCGCTTACTCATCCACACAAGCAATATAATATTACGAATACCGAGTTACTTGTACTGGCCTAAATTGTGTAACCTCAGCTCACCTTCTCATTTGTTATGCAATTGTACAAAATTGTTACCTGATAAATTGTTTGGAGGGTTTAAGAAAAGTACGACAATCAGAGTGTACCAATAGATTTTTTAGATTTCCATTTTTTGGGATGAATAAGGATAATTGCCAGACATGCATCATTTTTGTCTTTGTGTGTACAAGTATAACCTTTATGTACTGTGATTGTTGAACACTACCCAAATGCAGCAACTGTTTTGTGTCTGCAGGGAGAGATTATGCGAGAGATCACGCCGATGACACGGCGTCAAGGGACTCCTGTCACGGCAATCTGCTGTGATGAGGATGTTGACTGCATCATCACAGGAGATCAGAGTAAGATGTTTGCTTCATGAGGATGAGGGTGGGTGTGAAGATACTGAAGGGTCAGGGACCAGTTCAAAAGTTATATGTTGCATAAAAATATTTAATTACATTTTGAGACAGTCCCTCAGACACTTTCTGATTATGAAAAGGTTGATAATATCTGAAAGAAAACACACACATCATTATATCATTGCATACAAATAGTCGAGCAACACACCACGGAAAGGTTTTGAACTATTTCTTCTTCTTTTATTGTAATAGTGGTGCTATTCATTTTTCAAGTGTAAATATGTAATAATTACAGCTGTTATTTATTGAAATAAACTGGAAATTCCTCATCTTCCCGATGCAAGGGAGTTAACTGACTATACAAGTCCAAGTTCCAGCCTTGCTAAACTAGGCATGAAATCGACATCCAGTTCGTAAACTGCCGTGCAGATTTCGGTCGATTGCAGGATATGTACCGCCATTTTAGCGTGAACATATATATTCCAAATCTTTATGTTTTTTCATCAAGATGCACACATGATTTGATGCACTTAGCGAAGAAAGACCCATCATGCTACAATAAAGATCTTGATTATTGATGCGATTGTCTTCACTGGGTGCCATCCATTTGTTTGAAGCAAATGCAAGTGATATGAGAGGTGGAATCTGATTGGTCCATATGGGAGTCTTAGAAGGGACATAACTTAAAATAGCCACTGGTGGCGATATGATCGAGCCATGAAATTCTGGCCTAGTTTGGCAAGGTTGGAAACTGGACTTTTACAGCCAGTTAACTCCCTTGCCTCAGGAAGATGGAAATTCTCAGATTGTTACTCTTGCTATCAACCAACTGTTTGTCTTGATTTACATCCTGTGTTAAGGCTGCATTCACTCACTCATTCATGCTCTTAAGATGCTTGGAGGAATAAAGAGTATTCCCACTTTAAATGATCATGTTGTGGTAAGATTCTTGATTGCTGTTTGCAGAGGGATACATCACAATGTGGGATGTGAAAGGATTCCTGGAAGATGTCGAGTCTGAGGAACCGGTAAGTGGAATGAGTGAGTTGGGTTTTAATGCCACTTTGAAAAGTGTTCAGCGACGTCCTGGCATGTCAGCTTGATGCGGGAGAAAGGCTGAAGATAAACAGGGCTTAGAAACCCATGAGCAAGGGTATGGTGCCGACAAACCTAGGAACATAATAACAGTGAATCTGGGATTGAAACCCAAGATCATAAGCCTAAGGGTTGCAACTCTGCCCTTAAACAACAAGGCCACCTGTTCCCTGGAAGGGGGTAGAAATGTTGAACATTTCAGTAAAGATTGCCCAGTAGATGAACGATGTCAGTCTGGTTTGTAAACCTAGGGATAAAATAATAAAAAGCCTAATCAGTAAATATTTAATTATTGACTATTGACAAACTGAGAATTGTGTTGTCCTGCCATGTTTACATCCCTCTATAGGATGCAATATTCTAAATAATCATCTATGTTTTGCAAAACAAGGGACGTCAGATACATCACCTGGTACAAGTTCACCCATGGGGCAGGTTGTCTGTCGCCAAAACAAGGAACTTCATAGGATACATGGTAGAAGTTCACCCAAGAGCAATCTCATTAAAATAAGATCTTAGTTCTCGCTATCGCTAAACAAAGATCTGAGGACATACCATTACGGGTCACGTCAGAACGACTTTTCATCCAACCAATAAGAGCATCGCTTACCAGATACCGTTCATCCAACCATTCAGAGCGTCGCTTACCAGATCATGAAAGTGACAGACGGAATGTGTTTTCTAATCATGCAACCTCGAAATATTTTACAGAGGGTATTCCGAACGGCAGTTACAGGTTTTATGATTATATCCATACAATCTGGGCCATCTGTAAGCCATTCCAGAATGTTCATTTTATCAGTTTTAAAATTTCTAATCGAGTCGCCACCTTGAAACTAGTGTCGTAAAGCTTGAGAAAGCTGCTTTCTGATTAGCTAATGTTGATTTCTTGTCAGTCATTTCATTCATCGGTCAAAATTCGCCAAAGGTCATTTTGACGTGACCTGTAATTGGATGTCCTCAGATCTTTGTTTAGCAGTAGCGATAACTAAGATCTGATTTTAATGAGATTGACCCAAGAGCACCAGTTCTCAGTCATGTTGGTTATAATTATTTTGGTCAATCAATATGGCAAGATACAAAGGCAAAACCAAAACTCTAGACTGACTTTTATATGTATTAAGTAAGAAAACTTAAATCAAAATTAATAACATAAGGATTCAGGATATTATTTTAATACTTGTTTCTTTTGTTTTGTCTTTAAATTTAAGATTTAAAAACCCTGCCATATGTAAAGAAGGAGTTCAAGTAATTTAAATAAGCAGCCTTTTTTAATCATTTTTAAATTGAGGTAGACTTTTTTGTCAAATATGAAACATAATGATGTGGTTTCCTATGAAAAAACAATAAGGCAGACATATGGATGTTATTCTGTTTTTGAATTTTTCTTCAACAGCGCAGTATTATCAGTGAAACTTAATTAGCATTGATTGTGTGAAATCCAAATTAATTATGTTTAGTGATAAAAGAACATGCATTGGAATAGATAGCTCCTATGATATAGTATTAATGAATAAAATTAATGAATAGTTACAGTAACGTTGTCTCAATTCCTCACTTTGAAATCGGTTTTTTTAGCTTCAGAGTTCAGGGACAAAAATTAATTACTCAAAGTTTTAGAATGCAGTTAATTTAATTTTTAAGAATTCATTGCAAAACGAACTGACCTTTCTGAAATCAATTAATTTAAAATAATTTCAAAGATATTTTCATTAGCGCCTAATTTTCATAAAAGCAATTAATTTGGACAAATAAATGAATCTTTTGACTGGAACTTGATTTGTATGAAGATATTTCATCATAGATTTATTCTGTTTATTGACTCATTCCTTCCTAATCAATGTTCTCTATGTGGATTATTTTGCAGAAAAACATGGTATATTTGCAGTCACCAGATACCCATCAGCCATATTTGTTTGATGCTTCTCAGTATGGAGGCTCATCCTGGTAGTCCAAATTGAAAAAAATGCTTTCCTAATGCTAATAAATCTAAAAATAAATCAGTATGTTTTTGTTTAATATTATGAAATCTCTAAATTTAATAGCATTTTATTGACATAAAATATGATGCTGATAGTCATAACTGAAGTTCGTAAGAGGCGACTAACAGGATCGGGTGGTCAGGCCCGCTGACTTGGTTGATGTATGTCATCATATCCCAATTGTGTAGATCGATGCTCATGATGTAACTCACTGGATTGTCTGGTCCATACTCGATTATTTACAGACCGTTGTCATATAGTTGGAATATTGCTGAGTGTGTCCTTAAACAACAAACAAACAAATACACATTAATGAATTGATCTTCGAAGTTCAGAGAATGGTGATGATGCTTGATTACTAAATTACTCATGTCCGAGTAAACCATAAGCCTACCAAAAGTACAGTGCAGAACTGTTACTTTAAGACAGAAATACCCGCATGAAAGTGAATGGGGGAAAACGTCCAGTGCTCTGCAGCCTAGCCGAGAATGTTGCACATTACAGCAATATTCTTACTGCATGTGTGTAACTTAAACATTGAGGGCGGAGGGGATTGTTGTAAGTCTAGTAAGTAAGAGTGAATGAGTTGGTTAACGCCACTTTGAATGGTATTCTAGTTATATCACAGTGCATTATAGCTAAGTGTGGGAGGAAAGACTGAAGTGATGCAGGTCTCAGACTTTTGCCACTTCATTGAAACCCACAAGCAAGGGTATGGTACTGACAAACCTAGAAACATAATTGGGGTGAACAAGGATTCGAACCCACAATCATAGCTTTCTGGCATGCTTAAGGGGCGCAACTCTGCACAGTGAACTGCAGTGCCTCAGACGACTGGGTAACCTGTGCACGTTACACTTAAGATTAATAGGAGCTTCTTTGGCCTAACTTTAAGAATGTTTTAGCTCAATTTCATTTTTATTATTTGGCATCAGGTTGGTTTCTTTGTCATCAAAGAGGCCAAAGTAAATGCTATATGAACAGTGCAATTGATCAGTTATCCCTGGCTTGACACCTTGGCTTGTATGTTCCCAAGTGAGCTGCAAAAGAAATGGGAATGCACACTAATCCACAATCCACAAACTTGGTTGATACAGATATCCGATTTGCGAAAACCCCTTTGGTTTGGAGTCTTCTTCCCTGTTAATATCAATATCATATTTCAGTGGTCCCCTTAGGTCTGGTCAGTTTATCCATAAATTTAGAAAAGTTATCGTCTTTTGGTTTAAGTCAGTGGAAACAGTTCTATAACTGCAGCCTATGTGTCAACATGCAGGACACAAAATATAAACAATAAAAACATTCACAAACACAAGTATTCACAGACACAAACCTTTCTAAGTTACATATTTGACTTCTACAAAGGTTTTGGCATTCTTCAAACAAGAACAGGCTTCAGATTTGGTTGATTTGTGTTTTCAGGAAAAACTGAAGCAGATTGTGAGCTGGCGAGCTCACCTGACAAAGATTGTCTCCCTTGTCTATGTGGACTCCCTGAAGTCTATCCTGTCTGGGTCATCTGATGGGTCTGTCAGGTAAGACATGATTTCATATTCATTATTGTAATTGACTTCTCTGTAGAAGTCTTCCAAGACTCCAGTTACATAATGCCTCCCCTTTACCCTCATTTCCTTGCTGGATACAGTTGTGTCCCTTACATTCCAAGATTTGTCTCCCTTGTGACTGTTTGTAGCAAGCTCCTTCTCAGCATGTTACACCTTCGTTACCTTCCCGGTATCATCACTGCCACCAGTGTGACACCTTCATTACCCTCCCGGTATCATCACTGCCACCAGTGTGACACCTTCATTACCCTCCCGGTATCATCACTGCCACCAGTGTGACACCTTTATTACCCTCCCGGTATCATCACTGCCACCAGTGTGACACCTTTATTACCCTCCCGGTATCATCACTGCCACCAGTGTGACACCTTCATTACCCTCTCAGTATCATCACTGCCACCAGTGTGACACTTTCATTACTCTCCCGGTATCATCACTGCCACCAGTCTGGACACCTTCATTACTCTCCCGGTATCATCACTGCCACCAGTTTGACACCTTCATTACCCTCCCGGTATCATCACTGCCACCAGTCTGGACACCTTCATTACTCTCCCAGTATCATCACTGCCACCAGTGTGACACCTTCATTACTCTCCCGGTATCATCACTGCCACCAGTCTGGACACCTTCATTACTCTCCCGGTATCATCACTGCCACCAGTGTGACACCTTCATTACTCTCCCGGTATCATCACTGCCACCAGTCTGGACACCTTCATTACTCTCCAGGTATCATCACTGCCACCAGTGTGACACCTTCATTACCTTCCCGGTATCATACATGAGTTCTCACACAATTATTTGTAAAACCAGTATGACACACATGTGAGTGTAATAATTTCGTAATTACCAATTATTTTTCAATCCTTTTGAGCTGCTCTTTTAAAAAATGCACTGATCACCACCGCTGTCCAAGAAAACCACAATTTGTCGTTTGACATCAACAATCTTCAGCTTTGATGTCATTTCTAGTGTGACTTCATTCCAACCTAACATCACAATAAGATTTGAATGACGTCAACAATGCCATCCAGATGACACTGGTGTGTGAGAAGTGATATTTGCACTAGTGCACATACAATTTTTATGAATTTTGTTATTTCTAACACTATGGGTAATAACGGTCAGTCAGTTTTGAGTTCAACTCCATGCAAGGTTGTAGGCCACTAAGCACAGTGGGGAGCTGTGACTGGTGGCAGCAAAAGTATAGAGAGCTCCACGAACTGGCTATTGCGGTGAGGAGTTTACCTTGGTACTCCTCAAAGACTTTTACTTGCAAACAGCCCCTTAACTCTCAATAGTCTCATTCCCCTCGCTGTGCAGAGTTATGTCCCTTCCCTTCCTAGATTTGTCTCAATGTGACCCTTGGTAGTTTTGAATCCCAGCACGCATTATTTGATGGATCTAAGGTGGGAACATAGGCATTGTGAAGGTGAGAAGATGGGATGGGAACAAGGGGGGTTGGAATGTGGGAAGATGGGGAGATATGGGTAGGTGAGGTTTGGGAACATCAGGTTCCAGGAGATGGGAGAAGGGAGATGGAGAGACGGGCGTCGTGGAGATGGGGGTCAGGATTGTGGGGACTGGAGAGACAGGTGTTGTGGAGATGGGGGTCAGGATTGTGGGGACTGGAGAGACAGGTGTTGTGGAGATGGGGGTCAGGATTGTGGGGACTGGAGAGACGGGTGTTGTGGAGATGGGGGTCAGGAAGGTGGGGACTGGAGAGACAGGTGTTGTGGAGATGGGGGTCAGGATTGTGGGGACTGGAGAGACGGGTGTTGTGGAGATGGGGGTCAGGAAGGTGGGGACTGGATGGACGGGCGTTGTGGAGATGGGGGTCAGGATTGTGGGGACTGGATGGACGGGCGTTGTGGAGATGGGGGTCAGGATTGTGGGGACTGGAGAGACGGGTGTTGTTGAGATGGGGGTCAGGAAGGTGGGGACTGGATGGACGGGCGTTGTGGAGATGGGGGTCAGGATTGTGGGGACTGGAGAGACGGGTGTTGTGGAGATGGGGGTCAGGATTGTGGGGACTGGATGGACGGGCGTTGTGGAGATGGGGGTCAGGAAGGTGGAGACTGGAGAAACGGGTGTTGTGGAGATGGCGGTCAGGATTGTGGGGACTGGAGAGACGGGTGTTGTGGAGATGGGGGTCAGGATTGTGGGGACTGGATAGACGGGTGTTGTGGAAAAAGGGGAGTCAGGAAGGTGGGGACTGGAGAGACAGGTGTTGTGGAGATGGGGGTCAGGATTGTGGAGACTGGATACAGGTGTTGTGGAGATGGGGGTCAGGATTGTGGGGACTGGAGAGACAGGTGTTGTGGAGATGGGGGTCAGGATTGTGGAGACTGGAGAGACAGGTGTTGTGGAGATGGGGGTCAGGATTGTGGAGACTGGATACAGGAGTTGTGGAGATGGGGGTCAGGAAGGTGGAGACTGGAGAGACAGGTGTTGTGGAGATGGGGGTCAGGATTGTGGGGACTGGAGAGACAGGTGTTGTGGAGATGGGGGTCAGGATTGTGGAGACTGGAGAGACAGGTGTTGTGGAGATGGGGGTCAGGAAGGTGGAGACTGGAGAGACGGGTGTTGTGGAGATTGGGGTCAGGAAGGTGGGGACTGGAGAGACGGGTGTTGTGGAGATGGGGGTCAGGAAGGTGGAGACTGGAGAGACAGGTGTTGTGGAGATGGGGGTCAGGATTGTGGGGACTGGAGAGACAGGTGTTGTGGAGATGGGGGTCAGGATTGTGGAGACTGGAGAGACAGGTGTTGTGGAGATGGGGGTCAGGAAGGTGGAGACTGGAGAGACGGGTGTTGTGGAGATGGGGGTCAGGAAGGTGGGGACTGGAGAGACGGGTGTTGTGGAGATGGGGGTCAGGAAGGTGGGGACTGGAGAGACGGGTGTTGTGGAGATGGGGGTCAGGATTGTGGAGACTCGAGAGACAGGTGTTGTGGAGATGGGGGTCAGGAAGGTGGAGACTGGAGAGACAGGTGTTGTGGAGATGGGGGTCAGGATTGTGGGGACTGGAGAGACAGGTGTTGTGGAGATTGGGGTCAGGATTGTGGGGACTGGAGAGACAGGTGTTGTAGAGATGGGGGTCAGGAAGGTGGGGACTGGAGAGACGGGTGTTGTGGAGATGGGGGTCAGGAAGGTGGGGACTGGAGAGACGGGTGTTGTGGAGATGGGGGTCAGGATTGTGGAGACTCGAGAGACAGGTGTTGTGGAGATGGGGGTCAGGAAGGTGGAGACTGGAGAGACAGGTGTTGTGGAGATGGGGGTCAGGATTGTGGGGACTGGAGAGACAGGTGTTGTGGAGATTGGGGTCAGGATTGTGGGGACTGGAGAGACGGGTGTTGTGGAGATTGGGGTCAGGATTGTGGGGACTGGAGAGACAGGTGTTGTGGAGATGGGGGTCAGGATTGTGGGGACTGGAGAGACGGGTGTTGTGGAGATTGGGGTCAGGATTGTGGGGACTGGAGAGACGGGTGTTGTGGAGATGGGGGTCAGGAAGGTGGGGACTGGAGAGACGGGTGTTGTGGAGATGGGGGTCAGGATTGTGGAGACTCGAGAGACAGGTGTTGTAGAGATGGGGGTCAGGATTGTGGGGACTGGATAGACAGGTGTTGTGGAGATGGGGGTCAGGATTGTGGGGACTGGAGAGACGGGTGTTGTGGAGATGGGGGTCAGGAAGATGGGGGTGGGGCTTGGGGAAATGAGGGCATGACACATGGTGATTGAAAGCTGGTGATGATAATTTTAGATCTTTTGTTTTAAATGACAAATACAAAGAAAAGTTCAAAAAGAAAGTGGAGATTGTTTATGCTCATACTATACCCTTTAGCACAACTATGTTTGACAATGCATGACCCATGAATACACTTAAATTGTTCACAGACTTTTGTTTCTTTAAACAAGAAGAAATGTTGTAGCTTAAAAAGTCTCCTGAAGCCCATGTATGGCATCCCTGCCCTCACTAACCTGGTGTTTCTCCTGCAGGGTATGGTGGGGAAACAAGGGCAAGTTTGTAGGGTTCTTCAGCCAGCATCGGCCGTTCAACTTCCCCGCTACGGAAGAGACAGCTGGGTCCCCAACACTACCTTATGATATTACAGAGGTGAGACATCTTTAGCTTTTTTTAGGCCATGTCAATTCATTTTTTCCATTTATGGACAAGTCTGTTCACATTTTCCAAAGAGTAAAATATATAAATGATATTTTAAAATGTTTTTCTTAGTATGTTTGTTAAACTTTTAAAATATTTAAAAGAGTTCTCATTGAGTATTTAACCTCAACTCAACCATGACATTTTAAAAAACTACAGTCTTATAGGTCTGTCCGCATAATTAAGTCTGTGTCAAGACAAAACAGGTATAGCAGTGATGCATGTTTTGGTTGTAAGCTCATGAAATCAGGCCATTTATGACTCCTGGAAGGCAAGTGAGCTCTTCTCCATGCAAGAACGTTATTGCACCCTACTATTGCCAGACACTGAAGCAGTGTGTAGAACAGATACCAGAAGCTCCGCTACAAACTGGGAAGCATTGAGGATGGAAATAAGGTTAAAGTTCTCAGATAAGAATAAAAAATACAAATGCAATGGTGTTCAAGACTTATTTAACACTTTGTATAATTTGAGGACTTTTATGGTTTTTATGAATGAAGTAAAACTGTTTCAACTTTCTTTCGCAGCAACCTCTAGCTCCGGTAACTCGGAGGAAAAGTGCTACCCAGAAAATCAGAACTGTTCAAAAGTTTGAGTATCCTCTCATCTTTAATCAACAGAAGTGAGTTCACTCTGTTTGGAAACAAAAATCATTATTTATTGTTTTCTGCTTATTAACTCTATCTTCGTCTTTATCAGTACATTCCTGTTAAGATAATGGGGACATGGGCAATTCACTGTACAGACTTGTGTCCCTGTGACTGAGCGCCTGAAACTTATGATTGTGGGTTCAAATTCCTGTTCGGCTGGATATTTGTTTGTGAAAGCTTAGTAAAATTTGACCTCCGGATGTATAGTTGAAGGTTTTATGGGGTCTTGAGCTTAACTTTCTGAAACGATTCTTCACCACCTCAATTTGGTAATTTTGATTTGTACACATGAAAACCCACACAGAACACAAATAAGCCTTCGATGGTACTCCATTTTGGGTGTCCATGCCATTGCACTCAGATACAACAGTATGTATCAAATATCTACAACAATATTATGGCATGGTCTTATTCATTTACATTCAGAAGTTTAATTTTGGTTCATTTTCAAGACACAAGTGAGTGAGTGAGTGAGTATGGTTTTATGCCGCTTTTAGCAATATTCCAGCAATATCACGGCGGGGGACACAAGAAATGGGCTTCACACATTGTACCCATGTCGGGAATTGAACCCGGGTCTTCAGCGTGACGAGTGAACGCTTAAACCACTAGGCTACCCGACCGCCCTTAAAGACCCAAGAATCAGATAGGCTGGTTTGAATGTTTCGCTCACTTGTACAGAAAAATCAGAAGCATTGACACTGATTGGCCAATTAGAATGACATGACCTATGGAGGCCAATCAGAAAAAGGTATTACACCAGTGGGCGTGGCCTAATGTTTTAACATTTATGGAAGCACACAAAAAATGCTTGATGTGCCAATAAAATGACATGGCATCACTTATATTGCCTGGCTGCTTTGAACGCATAAGGAAAATATTACCAGTTAGTATCATCATTCCTGCCACCTCCCAGTATAATTTATATTTCAATTTTATTTTATTTTTTTCTATTCAGATGGCGCCCATTTCGCAGATCAGCGTATTTGAGGCCAAAATCAAGGCCAGCACAACCAGAAGACAAGAAATTCTTTAAGGCTCTCATAAAACCAAGGGTAAAGATATTTGTTCTGAGGAAATCCATATTAGTATGTGTGTTTCTCATGTCCATCTGCATCTTAAGAGACTGCCTCTGTGGTCTAGTGGTAGAACATCCACCCGGAGAGCGGATGGTCCTGGGTTCGATCCCAGGCCGCGTTATACCAAAAGATGGATTGTACTTGTTGTTACCCCACCTGGCGCTCGGCATTAAGGGGCGAAAACAAGGTCTGGTCAGCTCGGAGTCAGTATACTGTGTCTGAGTGGGGTATTCATGTTAAACTGCGGCATGGTATCTCAGTGAGCTAGCACTTTAAATCGGCATCAGTCCGGACTGGTACAAGCAGCCACCCACACACACATACACGTGCATGCACGTTGCTATATAAGTGCAATAATATTGGACTTGACGTTAAACCCTATTTCACCTCACCTCAAGAACCTATGTTTCCCCTTTGAATACCGCCGTCACATGGCAGGAGTACTGATGTCTGATGCTTGGCAACAAACAAACACTTCCTGTTTTATCCAAATTGTAATGTGAGGGTGCTACCCGTAGGGCAGAACATGCCTACCCTGGCCACAAACACCTGGTGTCATCACTGATCTTCAGTGATCCGTTCATATAACTTTCACCACTATTTTTGCCTTTTTACGCCCAATGGAATCTTTTTCGGCAGATAACTGAGACTGATTATTCTCTGGCTTTGACATTAATATTTACACTGTCAAGCATCAACATTATCAGGTTTCTTAGCCTAATTGTAAAAAATACCAAAATTAAATCAGTTTACCCTTGAGCATGGCGTGTCTGATATTCGAGATGGCTGACATCCAGATGAACTGCGTGCTGGATGAGTGTTAGAGCTTCGTTTGTGAACATGTTTACAGGCCTACAATCATCATCTCGAGAGCTCTACAACAGGAGAGAAGATGCAAGGAGCTGTATTCAGGGCTCTACCAGTGTATCGGGTGAGTTTGGTTTGAGAGTGAGTGAGTGAGTGAGGGATTTTGTTTTAACTCTGCTTTGAACAATGTTGCAGTTATATCATGGCATGGCAGTTCATTGTGGGATCACACTAATCTATGTATCAATATTAAACATGACAAAAACAGGCTTCACTAATTTTGACCTTGTTTCTTATCAAACATTTTTTATTAGTTGGCTTACTGATATTTTGACTTAATGCATTGGTTGATATAAGAGACATTATAATGGTGAGCCTTTCAAATTAATTTGTCTTTGTTTAAAAATGGGTGCTTAGGACGAAAATCAAAATCAAATTCTAATATGTTTCACTTTGCTTTTGAGCTCACTTGACTGAAAGGTTTTCCGTCCAACTTTTGAGTATTTTCTATGTCTCCCAAGCATTTGTGGGCTGTTGAACATGTGTCACTTTGGAGTTACTATTTTCTTCACACTGTTAATTGTTAGATTTGTGAAGCAAGTAATAAAACATACAATGTCAGAATATGCATGTGTTATCTCTATTCATATTATATCTCACTACACAAAATACCGTATTCGACATAATAAGCGCCCAGGGCGCTCTCAAAAATAGAAATAGGGGGCTCTTATTAGATTATGATTTTTGGTGGAAAAACCAGAGTTGAAAGATAAATTTTGTGGTTTATGCAGATGGCCTGAACTGTTTATATACGACAGATATTTTTTTCCTGAATTTAATTGCCCATAATTAAGGGTGTATATAACACACGTGTGCATATTATACACGAATAAATAAGTCTTGTGTACATTGATCAATCGGAAGGGGTGTTAATTGGGATTGTTCACTTGCCAAGATATTAGCAAATATCGCTGTGGGCCCTTATTAGAGCGGGGCGCTTATTACGTCGAATACGGTATCTGTCATACTTTACAGCAGCCTACCTTTTAACATGCAAAGAACAAAAAAACTCAGTGCTTTTCAGGTTACGTATGGAATTGTTGACATGGTATTTCCAGTATTACGTGCTCACGGTAATGTCTTTGCGTTGGGGGAAAAAACATCAAAACTCATTATGGCGTGTATAATGCGCACCCCCTTCTACACAACTGTGTTTTTTGGACAAGAAGTGCACAATATACTCAAGAAAATATGGTACTTTTTTCTCCCTTTTTACTTTTTAGGGTTGTTTGAATCTGGAAACCAAATTTCTTTAAGTGTATGACCTTATGTAGAAGTTTGTCTGACCTCCTGAACTTGTATTACAGGTGAGAACGCCAGAAAGGCCTCGGACCCCAGTGATCAGCGACTCCGTCATGTCCAAAGATGAGAAACACTTCCATGGTCGGCCATCAATGTATGGAACCGGTTTGACAATGAAGGTGGGAGACATTGTTCAGTTGTTAGGATGATTATGATGAGTGAGTGAGTGAGTTTTAACGCCGCTTTTAACATATTTCCAGTTATATCACAGCGTTTCAGCTTAATGTGGGAGGAAAGCCCGAAGTGATGCAGGTCTCAGAGGTTGTGAAACCCACAAGCATGGGTATGGTGCTGACAAACCTAGAAACATAATCGGCACGAACCGGGATTCGAACCCACAATCATAGGTTTCTGGCGTGCCAAATTGGGGTGCCTTAGACAACTGAGCCACCCGTGCCCCCTGATTATGATGGTGGTGGTTCATACAGGCTTGAAAAGGCCTTGAATTTGAATATGTCATGAAGAGCCTTAAAATGAGATAAAATATCTTGAAAAGGCCTTGAATGCGGCAACCATTGTTAACTCGGCTTTTATTTGGACAGAGTACAATTATATTTTCTCAATACTCCGTAATTCGATCAATAATTAATATTGAAACACTCTACATCAGGACTTTAATAGTGTATTTGGATGTACAAATTGAACTATTCTGACAATGAAATAAAGTAAAAATGTACAAATAAATGTTTGAAAGCAATCTTAAGCTTTTGAATCGTTTGATCGCGTCCTTGAAAAGGCCATGAATATGATCGCTCAAGCTGAACCATGATATGCTAACACACTGTTTTATGTTGTTTTTCATATTCGTGTCTCCTGTGTCTGGTTGCCCTGCTACATCTTGCAACTCACTTGCAACTCACTTGCACCTCCCTGCAACCTGCCCGTGTTACTGTGTTGATGATGCTGTGCCTGGCTGCTTCCACTCATGCATGACAACATCTCCTACCGCTTGCATCACTGCACATTATCCATTCTTGTGCTTCTATTATCACATTTTCCCAACAACTGATTGTGTGTGCTTGTGGTTGAAAATGATTGATTAATTGCTCGTTTCAATTGTAATCATGAACATTATATGCACCTTTTATGAATGTTATTGTAATCTACTGAATGTTTATACACCCCTCACATGTACAATCTATGGTACTCGCTTCCATATTATGATTACTAATACAATTGTAACTATGTGTATGCTGCTTTCCTGAAACTGTGTTAATTGTTTGTTGCTTATAACAATGTGATAATATAATTTATGTTGATCATATTCATATCACAATTTTGATAAAACTTATCACACTATATCAATGGATACTCCTGATATTGATGTCATGTAATTATTTGATATGATACCACCGATTTAACACATCGGTGCTCATATTGGTACTCACATTGATACTCAAATTCATACTCACATTCATACTCACATCGGTTCTCACATTCATACTCACATTGGTACTCACATTCATACTCACATTGGTACTCACATTCATACTCACATTGGTACTCACATTCATACTCACATCGGTACTCACATTCATACTCACATCGATACTCACATTCATACTCACATCGGTACATACATTCATACACACATTGGTACTCACATTCATACTCACATCGGTACTCACATTGCCCCACTGTGTGGCGGTTGTTGGGACTGAACTAACATAACCCACCCACTGTCCCAATGTATCAATTCACCCTGCGTGCTGCCATTTTGTTTCACCGCCAGTCCCGACGCCAGCCATTCAAATATATTCCGCGTATGAAAGTTGTGTATCTTGCTCTGCAGGGAGCCAAGTCATTGGGTCGTGTGGCTGACAAATCTGTGGGACGAGTGGTGAGTGACATTGGTATCACACGTACATTGATTAATTGTCTGTAATCACATGTTTCTTGGCAAGTACATCTACCAGTCGGGAGACAAAGACTGTGTCTAGGGCCCTGTCTCACAAAGTGAGCTTTGCACTAAGATTACCATAACTACCAGTCCGTAACATCCCTTGCGACAGCAGCACTAAAATTACCATAACTCTAAGTCCTTAACATCCCTTGCGACAGCAGCACTAAGATTACCATAACTCCCAGTCCTTAACATCCCTTGTAACAGCAGCACTAAGATTACCATAGCTCCCAGTCCTTAACATCCCTTGTGACAGCAGCACTAAGATTACCATAACTCCCAGTCCTTAACATCCCTTGTAACAGCAGCACTAAGATTACCATAGCTCCCAGTCCTTAACATCCCTTGTGACAGCAGCACTAAGATTACCATAACTCTCAGTCCGTAACATCTCTTGTGACAGCAGCACTAAGATTACCATAAGTCCCAGTCCTTAACATCCCATGCGACAGCAGCACTAAGATTACCATAGCTCCCAGTCCTTAACATCCCTAGCGACAGCAGCACTACGATTACAGTAACTCCAAGTCCTTAACATCTGTATGTATGACAACATGGCAGTATCGATACTGTATGTATCACAACATGGCAGTATCGATACTGTATGTGTCACAACATGGCAATATCAATACTATATGTATCACAACCTGGCAATATCGATACTATATGTATCACAACATGGCAATATCGATACTGTATGTATGACAACATGGCAGTATCGATACTGTATGTATCACAACATGGCAATATCGATACTATATGTATCACAACCTGGCAATATAGATACTGTATGCATCACAACAGGGCAATATCGATACTATATGTATCACAACATGGCAATATCGATACTGTATTTATCACATAGGGCAATATAGATACTGTATGCATCACAACAGGGCAATATAGATACTGTATGTATCACAACATGGCAATATCGATACTGTATTTATCACATAGGGCAATATTGATACTGTATGTATCACAACATGTAGTTGAGAGGTGGTACTGGTAGCCCAGTAGTAGTCATGCACAGCTGCAACCCTTAGGCGTGCCAGGATCTGCTGGTTGTGGGTTTAAATCCAAGATTCGCCCTGATTATGATCATTGGTATGTCAGCTTCATACCTGTACTCAGGGGTTTCATCATCCTGGTAAAGACCTGGATCGCTTGAGATATTCTCCCACTTTAACATGACACACCTTGATATTACTGAAATACTTTTCCAATCAGTGTTAAACCAATCTCAGTCACTCTGAGAAAGTACTGATACAGTTGTATGTCATATTTCTACAGAGACTAGCAATGCCAGGTATGATTACAACTGCACTGCATGTATACAGCATGTTCTTGCTCCTGCAAAGGATCATCCTCGACTATGCAGGGTATTATCTCTTCCTTCTTTGGGTCATTTGTAGCATGAGTGTTTTTTTCCCAAATTTCCTTTTCATGAAAAAAACTATGGAAAGGACAGTAACAATAGTCTTTTAGTAACCACATTTTTTGGAAAATGTTCAAAATTTAAATAAGATCTTGAAATCCAAACATGAAATTGTGAACCATTTTTGCCCATACCCTATCCGATAAACAACTTTTCAGTCTCATTCTCAAGCAAAGAAAGGACCTTTTAAGTTTACAATGAATCACAACATACTTAAGGGCATTTTTAAAGGGAAAATGTGTTTTCCTGAGCATTTTGACAGAGGAGGGGAGTCATTATGTTGACAGTTTTATTTGCGACAACGCAACAACATAATATTTGGTTGTATCGTTGAATTGTAAAAGAACTGTGTAATGTGATTTGATGGCTAGTTTCAGCACTGTGTCATTCAAACAGAGTGAATGAGTGAGTGAGTTTGGTTTTACTCTGCTTTTAGCAATATTCCAGCAATATCACTGCGGGGGACACCAGAAATGGGCTTCACACATTGTACCCATGTTGGGAATCGAACCCGTGTCTTCGGCATGACGAGTGAATGCTTTAACCACTAGGCTACCCGACCGCCCCCATTCAAATGGAATAACAATGATACCATGTCAATGAATGGATCCAGAATAATAATTTTTTTTATAATCAAAAGGAGATATAATACCCTAAGTTATAGAGGATGGTGCCTGAGGTTACGTTTATGACAACCCTTGTATGCACAACACACACACACTAACACAGAGCATGGAGGTCATGGGGAAGTCACTCCATTAACGGAACTGAAATGCGAAATTCACTCAGAAGAGTTGCTACTCAAAAGAAGTTAAGAAACACCCAATTCTTTCCTATTACTATAGTTATCACAGATATGTGGCATGAATGATTAACTATGGTACCTGTAATATGAAAGAATCAGGTGTTGTTTAACTTCTTTTGAGTAGTATATATTACATGTTCACCTGTTCTAGCACTTTTTTAGGGTGCTACCACTCACACAATATACGTTCAGAAGATTATGCACATGAATTGATCCTTAGGGATAGATTTTGTTTGCTGTTTAACGCCGCACTCAGCAATATTCCAGCCATATGGCAGCAGTCTGTAAATACTTGAGGTCTGGACCGGACAATCCAGTGATTGATATCATGAGCATCGATCCACACATTTAGGATCGGTGACATGCATCAACCAAGTCAGCGAGCCTGACCATCCGATTCCTTTAGTGGCCTCTTAAGACAAGTATAGTTGGCTTTTATGGCAAGCATGGGTTGCCTATTCTACCCCGGATCTCTTAGGGTTAGAGGTAGGATAGAATACCCCAAGGATATCCTTTCAAATCATATGGGTTTTGTCAAGTTTTCAGGTTTGAAGAAAAGTTACTGTCACTCATGTGGACATGATTGTTTACATGTGTGTTTATTTGCTAGGCTTAAAGGCTAACATGCTTAAAGGGGCAGTACGTCGATGGTTCTGTGTGTTTATTTGTTAATAGCCTTTAAGGGGCAGTATGTCAATGGTTCTGTGTGTTAATTGCTAACAGACTTAAAGGGACAGAATGTCAATTGTTCTGTGCGTTAATTGCTAACAGGCTTAAAGGGACAGAATGTCAACAGTTCTGTGTGTTCATTTGCTAGGCTTAAATAGGCAGTAATTGCCTTGCATTTGTCCCGGCTGTACTTACGTCAGAATAAGTGTGTTTGTTAATTCATACAGACCAATCTCCCTAACTTCTAACTTATGCAAAGTAATGGAATCAATGGCAAAAAACAGGCTACAACACTACTTAGAACAAAACAACATAATAAATCCAGACCAAAGCGGTTTCACTCCTGGACGCTCAACCTTAGATAACCTCGCCCGACTAGAACGGAACATCAAAACAGGTCTTAATGGTCAAATAATTAACTACATCCAAAGTTTCCTAACAAACCGCAAAATCTCCGTGGGCATAGATCAAACGCTATCGGACCAATGTCCCCTAGAAAATGGCACTCCCCAGGGCAGCATCCTAAGCCCGACACTCTTCAATATTATGATTAACCATCTATTCGAGGGACTATCCCCCAAAGTAAACACATCAAAATTTGCGGATGATGGAGCCCTCTGGATCCGCACTTAAAGCATTAAAATGGCCCATATCTTACTACAAAAATAAAATACAAAAATGGGCTGACAAATGGGGCTTCTCCCTAAACTCAGACAAAACCACAGGAATAGTATTTAAACACAAAAATATGCAACCCGCCTCCCTAAACCTCCAACTAAAGAACAAACCAATCAAATTTCAAAAACAAACCAAATTCTTAGGATTAATCTTCTATGATCATCTCACCTGGGATGCTCACATTAAAAACCTAGTAACCAGATGCAGCAAAGACCTAAACACATTAAGATGCCTGACCGGCTCCAACTGGGGGGCCTCTAAAAACACCCTCCTCTCACTCTATATATCACTAATTAGATCCAAACTAGACTATGGCAGTGCCATTTACGACACCCTAAAAAACTCTCTCATTAAAAAACTAGACTCAATCAAGTATCAGGCCCTAAAACTAATCACACGAACTCAACATAGCACCTCCTCCACCTCACTCCAGGCCTTAACATGAGAAATGCCACTTAAACTTACCCTAAACTTCTGGGCCGCGTCCCAATCAAACCCTCTAATCGAAAACTTAATAAAAAACAATATTATTAGCCCTAGAAACAAAGCCCTAGCCCGGAAAAATCCACTACTTACTCCAATTTCCCAAAGAATAACCAATTACCTAAATGAACACAAAATAAATAATCTTAAACAAAACAATAAATCATCCAATATCTTCACTCCAAAACTTAAAATACCAAAAATAGACACAACACCAGCCGATACACTAAATAAACAGACCGATCCTAACATCGCTAAAACCACCACACTAGCATACATACACGAAAATTGGCCAAATTGGTGTCACATATACACAGACGGATCCTCAGATCCGACATCACGATATGGCTGAAATATAGCCGATGTGACGTAAAGCATTAATTCACTCACTCACTCACTCCTCAGATCCGATCTCAAAACACACAGGTTTCGGAGTCCACATTACACAACCAACCAAACACACCCAATCTTACCGACTCCCAAACAACCAATCCATATTCAAGGCCGAACGCATGGGCATGGCCTCAGCACTACACAATCAGCAATCTAAAAAACAACAAAAAATCCTCATCCTAACCGACTCCCTCAATGGACTACAAGCCCTCAAAAATAAAAACACTAAAAACCGCCCCAAACTAATAAATCAAATACTCAAAAGCTCAAACAACTTAACTAAGGCAGGTAAACAAATAGAGCTCATTTGGATCCCCGCCCACGTAGGAATCTTTGGAAATGAAAACACAGATAAAGCTGCAAATTTATCCCTTAAACTCCCAGAAATAAGCTTAAACTTACCCAGCTCAAAATCAGAAATCAAAAGTGTCACTAAACATAATGTCAACAAAAAATGGCAAACTATATACCAAAACTCAAATAGGCAAATCAGGAAAGTACTAAAAAAAAACCTAACTAAACCAAAAATACTACACCCATCCAAAAAAATCGACAGAATAATTACTAAACTACAAATAGGCCACACCAAACTAAATAATCACCGTAAAATAGCTAATCTACACACAACAGGAAACTGCCCACATTGCAAACAACAATTTAAGAAACACCAGAACAGGTACTCATTCACTGCACACTCTACCAAACAAACCGAACAACACTACAGACCACCCTAAATCTTAAAACCACACTTACACTAGAATCAATCCTAAATCCACAAAATAAATTAGAAAAATTCAAAGCCTTAGGCATATACCTAATTAAAACAGGACTAATTAGTTGCATTTAAACCCCAAATAAAATATTAAAACCAAAACTACCTTATCTAACAACCAGCCAACACAAACAGCTCCCTTAGTTCGTCCTCCACCAACTCTTGGCATTCATTCCAAATCTCAAAATTTCAAAATTACTATATAAGCAACCCCTAAAGACCCCCTCCTGGGTTGCACAAACTCACTTTCCCCTTTTCGGAAACACATTAAATGGCCTGGCCGGGCCCGTGTGCGACATACGCTTGCAGTCGGAAAGCATACGATAAATCTCCAATATAAGTAGGTAAGTAAGTAACAAGAGAAAAAGTCTGATAAGCCTACTCTCGCTAAAAAAAGCAACCAGAACTGCAATTTTATTTTTAGAAAATGTTGGTGTGGTATATTTTGCATGTTGTTTGTATTTTTGTGTGTTGTGTGTGACATAATATGTAACACAATCATTAGAAACATTGTTTGAACAGGGTATGATCCATCCTCTGTTAGCAAGGGTATGATATCTCCATACTGTGAACTATATACCCTGGACACATTCACACCACAGCTTCTTCCAGTTCGAGTGAATTTATACTCAAAATAGAATATATCTCCTTCCAAGCAAATGACACAGTTCTTTCATGATTAAATACTCAGTGAAGAAATTCAAGCTGCTCCAATTACAAGTCTCCTGATTCCTCGTAACTCCTCTAATGTCAGCATGTTTGGGGCTGCTCCTACGATGTCGTATTTGGAATATAGGTCAATGCAGAACTCATGTTCTGAAGTCATTGTGACTGAAGTATGATATAATACCCTGCATTATCGAGGATGGGTATGATCAAGGTGCAACATATTGAATCACAGCAATCTCAAGAAGTGTATGAAATAATTAAACTCAACAACCTGCCAGACAGTTGTATTTCACAGTCAGGATAACAAATGAATACACCTCCATGGAGACTACTCGTTTAAGAATAGGTCCCCAGCGACATATGCTTGTCATGTGAGGCGACTTAATAGATCGGGATCAGGCTTTGGTTGATTATGTCTCATTGTAGCCCTGACAGCATGGACTTTGCTCATAATATCTATCACTGGTTTGTCTTGTCTTGTATCTTATTAAAGTCTGCATTCATATTGCTGGAATATTGCTGGTGTCAAACTACAAACAAATCACTAGCCAATCATTATGTGTATGAGTAGTCAAGGTTATCTCCCTTTACTTATATACAGAAGATGCTCACCCAGGCCTGACTAAATTGTATTGAATTTTTAAAATTGAAACTACCTAAATTTTGTGAAAAGAACAACACATACATTATTAAAATGCTGGGGATTTTGTTGAGCTGTTTTTTGTCTCCTGTCTGAAATTAGAATGGTTTAGCATTGCAGAGATAGATTGACAGGCATGTATTCAAAAAACATTTTTTTTATCAAGGCTCAAAATCATGATAATATTTATGAGGTTTCTTTGCAAAAGACACTGATGGTGTTTTAAAGAATATTCGCAATTTGTTTTATGTGGTTGTTTTTTTCAGGTGTCCCCCCTCAAACTTCACAATAGACGAGGGCTGAATGGCAGGCCTCCTGGGATTGGTCCATCTCCAAACCAATCAGGCTTCAGTAACTCTGTATCTCCATCACCACGGAGAAGATGACAAGTATTGGACAGCCATTTGGTGGCAGCCTGTACAAAACACTGTCTGTATGCTGTAGCAGTGTAGCCATTCTGTAGCAGCCCATCTCAACAGCATCAACATGCAACAATGGTGTCACTTTTACAGCCACGATATGGAAATACAATACCATGAGAGACTGGTTTGAATCGCAATACAGTCTGACGTTTAAAGGGAAAAGATCAATTAAAATTTCCAATTATTTTGTCAGTCTGACCATAGGAATCTGAAGTTTTGATTAAAATAATTATAATTTTATGCCCTTTTTAACGACCAGTATCATCCTATTGGGAATGAAATGAGATGACAAAGAAGTAGTCACCCAGGGCATAAAATTTCATTATTTTAATTAGTTCAACTTTTGATTCATATGACCTGACAGACCACAATTGATCCTGAATAAATGGACATCTGTACATGCAAGTTTTGTAAGAGTCATGTTTGATTAATAACTTATCTCAACTTTAATAAATCTTATGCATGAAGAAGGATATATGTATCATATTTTGTATCATGATACGATACCGTATTGCAGCCTGTAAGTCATGATACATTTTGAGTTTGTAAAGAAAACTGTTTTTTTTCTTGAAGTTAACTTTCTTAGGGAGATGGAGTGGTCGGGTATCCTAGTGGTTAAAGCGTTCGCCCGTCACACTGAGGACCTGGTTTCAATTCCCTACATGGGTACAATGTGTGAAGCCCATTTCTGGTGTCACTCGCCGTGATATTGCTGGAATATTGCAAAAAGCAGCGTAAAACCAAACTCACTCACTCTTTAGGAGATTGAATTCATGGTACAGAAACTTCAATGACCTGGTATTCTCCTTGTTAAGCTGAGCTTTCTTTTACATGATAGGAGCGTGCATGGTCCAGTCATCTAAGGCACTGCAGTTTTCTCTGTTGGGTTGTGTCCACCTGCGTCGCACCTATCTCTAACGTAGAAGTTCTGCCGCTAATGAGAGTAATGTGATTGGATGGCTTGGTTTTCTGTCGTGTCATTTGAATTGGGTTTTACACAAGGCAATTGTAGCGAAAGAGTCCAGAGTATTTATCATTATAGAATGGAGACAAGACAGCTTGGATGATTGAGGATGTGGCTGTTGTCTTCTCTGTAAAGCAAGCTTCTTCGTCATCCCAACAAAACCAGCATTTAAAATATTCACTCTAAATTACATGGGTTGTATTTTGAATAAAATGGGTGGTAGGTCTAAACAAGAATGTAAATTGGTGTTGTACAGGGATATTATATGAGGCTTGTTCAAATTTATTGTATGTCATGACCTGCCCATCCATGATATTTTTTATATTTTTAAAGACTGTTAAAGAAACAAATGTTTCAACTTAAATTTCGTTTTTGCTTGAGATTCCAACTTTTTGTACCAGGAGCTGCAGGGGGTATGGCTCAAAACCACGTGGTACATTAAAATCAATTTTACTTTGATAGCTTGTAATACACTGGAGAAATGAGAAAAACAAAATGAATCCTCCGTCAATTTTGAAAAAGGTCATGAGACACAAGAATGGAATTTTAATAAAAATCTACCTGACAAATCTATGATGATTTGGTTAGTGTACTTAATAGCCTTGCCTTGTTCCATGTTGTGAACTACTGTGCAATATTTAAGTTTCATCAAAATCAGTAATTCCCTGTTAATGAAAGAGTGCAACTCTTTGCTTTTCATGTCTAGATTCCCCATGAAGGCCTCTGTAAATCACACTCATTCTTTCTCAGGAAACTGATTTTGTTAATGTGTCTTATGTTTTTAGATATTAGCAGTTTCCCAGGTCTAGGATAATCATGTTGAATATGCAGAACAACAATTTTAGGAAACTTTTTATTGTCCTTGGAATTGTCTTTAAGTCTTTGCGTTATGTTGTTACAGTGTTACTCACACACAATCTTTCAACAGTGTCTGGAGTTAATCTTTTGCTGGAAAACAATGTTGGTACTTTGCTGTGTTAACACTAACTGGATATTCTGCTGCTTGCACACAATACTGGATTCACTGCTGCTTTAACACAATACTGGATTCACTACTGCTTTAACACAATACTGGATTCACTACTGCTTTAACACAATACTGGATACACTACTGCTTTAACACAAAACTGGATACACTACTGCTTTAACACAAAACTGGATACACTGCCGCTTGCACACAATACTGGATTCACTGCTGCTTTAACACAATACTGGATACACTACTCCTTTAACACAATACTGGATACACTACTGCTTTAACACAAAACTGGATACACTGCCGCTTGCACACAATACTGGATTCACTGCTGCTTTAACACAATACTGGATACACTACTGCTTTAACACAATACTGGATACACTGCTGCTTTAACACAATACTGGATACACTGCTGCTTTAACACAATACTGGATACACTACTGCTATAACACAATACTGGATTCACTACTGCTTTAACACAATACTGGATACACTACTGCTTTAACACAATACTGGATACACTACTGCTTTAACACAATACTGGATACACTACTGTTTTAACACAATATTGGATACACTGCTGCTTTAGCACAATACTGGATACACTACTGCTTTAACACAATACTGGATACACTGCTACTTTAACACAGTACTGGATACACTGCTGCTTTAACACAATACTGGATTCACTGCTGCTTTAACAATACTGGATACACTGCTGCTCTTACACAATACTGGATACACTGCTGCTTTAACACAATACTGGATACACTGCTGCTTTAACACAATACTGGATACACTGCTGCTTTAACACAATACTGGATACACTGCTGCTTTAACACAATACTGGATACACTGCTGCTTTAACACAATACTGGATACACTGCTGCTTTAACACAATACTGGATTCACTGCTGCTTTAACACAATACTGGATTCACTACTGCTTTAACACAATACTGGATTCACTACTGCTTTAACACAATACTGGATTCACTACTGCTTTAACACAATACTAGATACACTCCTGCTTTAACACAATACTGGATACACTGCTGCTTTAACACAATACTGGATACACTACTGCTTTAACACAATACTGGATTCACTACTGCTTTTACACAATACTGGATACATTGCTGCTTTAACACAATACTGGATACACTGCTGCTTTAACACAATACTGGATACACTGCTGCTTTAACACAATACTGGATACATTGCTGCTCTAACACAATACTGGATTCACTACTGCTTTTACACAATACTGGATACATTGCTGCTTTAACACAATACTGGATACACTGCTGCTTTAACACAATACTGGATTCACTACTGCTTTAACACAATACTGGATACACTGCTGCTTTAACACAATACTGGATTCACTGCTGCTTTAACACAATACTGGATACACTGCTGCTTTAACACAATACTGGATACACTACTGCTTTAACACAATACTGGATACACTACTGCTTTAACACAATACTGGATACACTGCTGCTTTTACACAATACTGGATTCACTACTGCTTTAACACAATACTGGATACACTACTGCTTTAACACAATACTGGATACATTGCTGCTTTAACACAATACTGGATACACTACTGCTTTAACAATACTGGATACACTGCTGCTTTAACACAATACTGGATACACTACTGCTTTAACACAATACTGGATACACTACTGCTTTAACACAATACTGGATACACTGCTGCTTTTACACAATACTGGATTCACTACTGCTTTAACACAATACTGGATTCACTACTGCTTTAACACAATACTGGATACACTACTGCTTTAACAATACTGGATACACTACTGCTTTAACACAATACTGGATTCACTACTGCTTTAACACAATACTGGATACACTGCTGCTTTTACACAATACTGGATACACTGCTGCTTTTACACAATACTGGATACACTACTGCTTTAACACAATACTGGATTCACTACTGCTTTAACACAATACTGGATACACTACTGCTTTAACACAATACTGGATTCACTACTGCTTTAACACAATACTGGATACACTGCTGCTTTAACACAATACTGGATACACTGCTGCTTTAACACAATACTGGATACATTGCTGCTCTAACACAATACTGGATTCACTACTGCTTTTACACAATACTGGATACATTGCTGCTTTAACACAATACTGGATACACTGCTGCTTTAACACAATACTGGATTCACTACTGCTTTAACACAATACTGGATACACTGCTGCTTTAACACAATACTGGATTCACTGCTGCTTTAACACAATACTGGATACACTGCTGCTTTAACACAATACTGGATACACTACTGCTTTAACACAATACTGGATACACTACTGCTTTAACACAATACTGGATACACTGCTGCTTTTACACAATACTGGATTCACTACTGCTTTAACACAATACTGGATACACTACTGCTTTAACACAATACTGGATACATTGCTGCTTTAACACAATACTGGATACACTACTGCTTTAACAATACTGGATACACTGCTGCTTTAACACAATACTGGATACACTACTGCTTTAACACAATACTGGATACACTACTGCTTTAACACAATACTGGATACACTGCTGCTTTTACACAATACTGGATTCACTACTGCTTTAACACAATACTGGATTCACTACTGCTTTAACACAATACTGGATACACTACTGCTTTAACAATACTGGATACACTACTGCTTTAACACAATACTGGATTCACTACTGCTTTAACACAATACTGGATACACTGCTGCTTTTACACAATACTGGATACACTGCTGCTTTTACACAATACTGGATACACTACTGCTTTAACACAATACTGGATACACTGCTGCTTTAACACAATACTGGATACACTACTGCTTTAACACAATACTGGATACACTGCTGCTTTTACACAATACTGGATTCACTACTGCTTTAACACAATACTGGATTCACTACTGCTTTAACACAATACTGGATACACTACTGCTTTAACAATACTGGATACACTACTGCTTTAACACAATACTGGATTCACTACTGCTTTAACACAATACTGGATACACTGCTGCTTTTACACAATACTGGATACACTGCTGCTTTTACACAATACTGGATACACTACTGCTTTAACACAATACTGGATTCACTACTGCTTTAACACAATACTGGATTCACTGCTGCTTTAACACAATACTGGATACACTGCTGCTTTAACACAATACTGGATACACTACTGCTTTAACACAATACTGGATACACTACTGCTTTAACACAATACTGGATACACTGCTGCTTTTACACAATACTGGATTCACTACTGCTTTAACACAATACTGGATACACTACTGCTTTAACACAATACTGGATACATTGCTGCTTTAACACAATACTGGATACACTACTGCTTTAACAATACTGGATACACTGCTGCTTTAACACAATACTGGATACACTACTGCTTCAACACAATACTGGATACACTACTGCTTTAACACAATACTGGATACACTGCTGCTTTTACACAATACTGGATTCACTACTGCTTTAACACAATACTGGATACACTACTGCTTTAACACAATACTGGATACACTACTGCTTTAACACAATACTGGATACACTGCTGCTTTAACACAATACTGGATACACTACTGCTTTAACACAATACTGGATTCACTACTGCTTTAACACAATACTGGATACACTACTGCTTTAACACAATACTGGATACACTACTGCTTTAACACAATACTGGATTCACTACTGCTTTAACACAATACTGGATTCACTACTGCTTTAACACAATACTGGATTCACTACTGCTTTAACACAATACTGGATACACTACTGCTTTAACACAATACTGGATACACTACTGCTTTAACACAATACTGGATACACTACTGCTTTAACACAATACTGGATTCACTACTGCTTTAACACAATACTGGATTCACTACTGCTTTAACACAATACTGGATTCACTACTGCTTTAACACAATACTGGATACACTACTGCTTTAACACAATACTGGATTCACTACTGCTTTAACACAATACTGGATACACTACTGCTTTAACACAATACTGGATACACTACTGCTTTAACACAATACTGGATACACTACTGCTTTAACACAATACTGGATTCACTACTGCTTTAACACAATACTGGATTCACTACTGCTTTAACACAATACTGGATTCACTACTGCTTTAACACAATACTGGATACACTACTGCTTTAACACAATACTGGATACACTACTGCTTTAACACAATACTGGATACACTACTGCTTTAACACAATACTGGATACACTACTGCTTTAACACAATACTGGATACACTACTGCTTTAACACAATACTGGATACACTACTGCTTTAACACAATACTGGATACACTGCTGCTTTAACACAATACTGGATTCACTACTGCTTTAACACAATACTGGATACACTACTGCTTTAACACAATACTGGATACACTACTGCTTTAACACAATACTGGATACACTACTGCTTTAACACAATACTGGATACATTGCTGCTCTAACACAATGTTTGTCAGGTCTCAATGAAATTAATTATGGATTTACAAGATTATTTTGTCAAAAGCAGGACCTTTTCGTTATTTATCACTTGAATAATAAATTATTGTCACAATAATTTAATTTCCAGAAAAAACATAACTCACTGTGGATGAATCATGTTTAAGCTCACTTCTATCCCAGCTGTAGGTGTGAAATTAACCATACATAGAGATTTTTATTATGTATTTAGTGATGAAATAACACTCTATGCAAGAACAATTTGAGTATATCTCAATGACACTATGGTTTTCAGAGTAAGATCATGAAAATCATACAAGAAAAAACATAATATATATAATTTGTGTCCTTTTCCTGTCAGATAACATGTTTATCTCGTTGAGTGATCTGCATGGTTGACATTTTCATGAGTAGGACAGCAACAAGTGAAAATGTCAACTTTGCATCATGAGATGACATAAATATGTTATTTGGCAAGGAAGACTAATAACTTCTATGTAATTACTGGTAGTTTTATTAAATTTTAAGAGCCTTAGCTTGTTATGGCGATTTTTTTTCTTCGTGAGGTTTTCTGATGGATTTTTTTCGTGGAGCAATCGCCAAAAAGGGGAGATGACTCACAACTCACTTTGGTTTTGGCTTCCATTATCGTGGTTACAGAATATTTGGTTTTATGATTGTTACATTGTTGCTGTAACATAATTATTTATTCCATTGTTTTAAGGTTGTACTTATTGTACTGTTGTTGGAACTACCTTGATGACATCACTTAATTGGGTTACTGTTGGAATTTGTAACAGGTTATGATTGAACAAAACCACACACATTTGCATTTTTGAAGTTGAATAATCACCTGTTTACCATACAGCATTATTTATGTGTAAAATATTGAATAAGGGTTGGGGAATTTTGAAAACAGTGTCCTTTTTTGTCACTACAAAGGACAAGGTATGATAGGGACTTAGTGCACACATTATCTGTGTCATTATTATCAAAGTTAAACAAAACCAAACTGTATCAAAGAAGCCTTTTTGTAATAGTTGAACAAGAACAATCCCTGACCCAAGCTGATTTTCTTAGATGTAGATAGAAGGGTTATGTTCATCTTCCCCAGGCAAGGGAGTTAACTGACTATGGAAGTCCAGTTTTCACCCTTGCAAAATTAGACTGGAATTATGGAGTTATATTTTGGCTGGACTATGCATAGTCCTATCAAAATCTCGTAACGAAATCAACATTTGGTTCGTAAACTGCCGTGCAGATTTCGGCCGACTGCAGGATTTGCAAAGCATGTGTTCCGTCCAATTAGCTTCAACAGATATTTTCTTAAATCTTTGCATGTTTTTAAGTAAGGCTCGTTTTATTATAACATAAATCTTGATTATCGATCACTGGGCTTTTTGTTTGAAACAAATGCAAGTGATATCAGAGGTGGAATCTGATTGGTCAATAGAAGGGACATAGAAGGGACATAACTCGTAATAGACACTGGTGACGATCGATCGAACCCAGATATTCCGGCCTAGTTTGGAAAGGGTGGAAACTGGATTTTTATAGTCAGTTAACTCCCTTGCCTCTGGAAGATGGGTTATGGTAGACTATGGTAACAAGAGGAAAAATATTCATTTTGGGTCATGGATTTGCTCGTTGCATTTTTTTGTCTGAAAGTTGAAAAAATGGGCCTTTTTCAATGATTCCAGTCACTCTTGTGTACTAAGACATGTCAGAACTTCAAACTTTAATGTTGAAAACAGAAACAGAGGTAGTTGTCAGCCATTTCAACATTTGTGATAATTTTCATGCCAGTGTTTCAAAGTCTTATGTAACCTGAAAGTGTGGTTTTCTAGTGGGCTAATGAGGGCCCTTATCAAACCTTGTCTTTGTCCAATCTGTGATATGAATGCAATATAAGTATCTAGCATTTATTTGTGCATATTTCAATGTACTGCTGTTGTTGAATTTAACATGCTGTCAAAAAATAAGGATATCACAAAGATATCATATGTTAATATGACAGTATATTGTCCAGTGATATTTCTAAAGAAATTATAAAATGCATGTTAAAATGTACTAGTTTGTTGGACAGGACAATGTTGATTACTTATAGTTAATATACCAAATGGTGGGAGGTTAATTAATAAAACACATGTTTTATATGAAGGTATTTTTACTTTTTAAAAAACTCTTGCAATAAATAGATTTAAAAAAACACATAATATGCTTGTCTGTAAAGAAGGAACTAATGTGTAACAAAATATTTCATAATGAAGTATTTGAATAATAAATATATGAACTGATTTTGTGGTTTTGTTTTCTCCAAACGTGTTGTCACAAAGTGTTGCAGAAATGGGGTTTCTTTCTGGTCTGCAGGTTAACAGTGAGTGAGTGTATGAGATGGGTTTAACACCGCTTTTAACATTATTCCAGTTATATCACAGCGTGTCAGCTTAATGTGGGAGGAAAGCCCGAAGTGATGCAGGTCTCAGACGTTTACGACTACGGTGAAACACACGAGCACGGGTATGGTGCTGACAAACCTAGAAATATAATCGGGGCAAACCGGGATTCGAACCCACAATCATAGGTTTCTGGCACAACTCTGCACAGCGAATCGCAGGTTAACAGAAGATAATCTTGTGACATTGTGCAGGTGCATACATTCTCAAGAAATTCACCTTTAGACGAGTCCAAATTTACTACCTGGGTACCCGCCACCCTATTACCCAGTGTTGGTCTCAGGAGATGTCTCAACATGTCCGATTGGGAACATTTTTAGCATAGCCCTGGCAAAATGTATTCAGATACATGTATTAAACAACCTGGTCATTCATACACTGAAGTTGAATTAAGTTATATCTTTATTCAACCATATGAAAAATCAGAAGGAATGGGTGCATAGTCAGAAGGAAATGCGAACATTAGTGACTTGTAGTGTAACCATGGAGTTCTTGATACTTTTTGTCATTAAACAATATATCACGTGACTAACCACGGGTCCGGGTAGTCCTGTGGGTACCCGGGTCCTACTCAGTACCCACCCGACCCGGGTACCCGAGTTATTAGCTCCTCTTATAGATCTATCATCTCTACACACAATATCAAAAAGTCCATGGATGTTGGGAATTTTCAATATTTGGGCTAAATTCAGGCAAGGCATTACTGAGCGATATGCTTTGGAAGTCTTTCTTATCTGACTGTGACGTCATACAGGACGACATCGCAGTACTGTGACGTTACATATAGGACGTAACAAATTGTGTTACAGATTCCCAAGTTTCAAGCTCTCTCGATCTACCGTAAAACCTAAAACAATTACTTATTCATTCTTTTTATTAGCTTTACTGGGTCCCATAACCACATGTGTCTGTCGACCTCTGCGCCTTGGAACCTTTTCCTCAAATAAAAAAACAGTTGGATGTTGCCGAAATATCTCGGATTTGTTACCTTTTCCGTTTGGCTGCTGTGTTTACATCTGACTGCACTTCGTAACGTTATGATTGGACAGGCAGACTCTAAACAAACGTGACGTCCCATAGACTAGGGTTAGAGTAGCTTCCCTTTGATTAAGGGCAGTTACTCTAGTTTGGATTGCCGCGAAAGGCAAGTAGAAACAGTTTGTGTAGGCAATTTTTGTTTTGCCTATATGTAGTTACGCCACTGTGTAAGAAACAGGTTTCAGTTGTAACTGTTGTCACCGTCCGACTGACAGATCACTTACCTTCTGACGTCATATACATTAATGCACACATTCCGGGAAAACTTGCAATGTTTATGTATTGTTTGTGAGAGATAGGAACACAGCTTAATATTGTTTGTCACTTGTGGTAACGTCGCAATCAGCATTATTCCAGCTACATCACAGCGGCTCTTGAGAATCATTCTGTAATGGGGATCTATATATCCACATTCCGGCGTAGTAACGACTTAATTTGAATATCGGATGACCGTTTGTAAACATACGCGCTTATTCTGAAATCAGAACAGACTCGGCTAATGTAAGGCTTTTGGTGCGCTTTCCGTATTGTTTGCATAGATTCTAATTATGTACATATTCTACTACAACTGCGACAGTTGAGGCGGATGACAATATATCTTTACCCAAATGGAAATAGTTTTTCACATTTCATGATATGTTTATCTAAATGTGTAAACTCGTCAAATATGAAACAGAAGCAAAACATGTATATGTAATATCTGGAATGATCTGTGTAAGATGTGACAAATGCGGTTTACCGCGTGGAACTCTGGGTATGAGACTGGACGCTCTCGGATCTACCCAGAGCTGGAATCCCGACATGTCGGCAGATGAAGACACTATATGGGCGTCCAATCACACACTGAATGAGTGAGAGTTGGATTCAAGATTATTCCAGTTATATCACGGCGTGTCACCTTAATGTGGGAGGAAAGCCCGAAGTGATTCAGGTCTCAGACGTTTACCACTTCGGTGAAACCCACTAGCATGGGTATGGTGCTGACAAACCTAGAAACATAATCGGGGCGAACCGGGATTCGAACCCACAATAATAGGTTTCTGGCGTGCCCAAGGGACGCAACACTACACAGCGAATCGCGGAGCCTTAGACGACCGTGCCCCCTCACACACTGAAGATACTACTATGTTAAACAATGCTACTATGCGCCCCACGTGGTCGTCCAATTTCATTTGTTTAGTAAACATACCAATATTAGGTTGCTATTTCTTGTTTACTTTCGAGTAATTTAGTGATATTGTTTTTATAACAAATTGTCAAGCACTAACTGTCCCGATCTTAAAAACGGTTGCTATCGATTATGATAGGCCAATCTAAACACTACAGTAGACAATGTGTTTCGTTTTCCGAATGAGTTATGTTCTCAATACACGCTTGATTATTGATCATCAAATTTTGCCAAAAAAACTACATGCAACTATGCTCTCGTACCCAATCGTTTATTAAACAAACAATGCAAAATACGAAAGCCCTCCTATATACAAATCGACTAAAAGTAAAGGCAAATAAAGAAAAGGGTATTAATGCAATTAACTACCGTGTGTTCTCACTGATGTAGATCCCTAGAAACACTTCGCGACCCTACCCTAGACTTTAGCCTTAACGGCAGTAAAAATATCACAGCCTATCAATATCATGAAAATCTATAAGCACTATAAAATCATATCAAATACATAATAACACATGCATCATCCTAAATGTTCACTATCAGCAATAACATAGAAATATACATAGATATCCCGTAAATGGCTACAAACTGCATTAATTATATCTATCCCGGATATAAAATTATATAAATTGACATGTATAACTCCAAATATAATTATCACATCAGCGCTTGCCGGAGTCTCCAAAAATAGTACTATGCTTTTCAGAAATTTAGAAACTAACCATAGACTACCCTACAGGGCCCTGTTCCACAAAGCGAACGTACTGTTAAGACTGTCTTAAATCGTTTACTGTAACCTTAGACTGACGATCGGTTTGTGGAACGGGGCCCTGACAAACACATATCAGAGGACACTAAATTAAACACCACGATTCAAAAATCTAACGAAAAAGTTAGAAATAAGGAGTTGGGGAAGTATACAGGCTTTTGTCAATTTGGCCCTTTCTTGTGACAGTGTGGCACTTTTGAAATCGTTCAAATTGGAATCTTCCTAAAATATGCCAAACTCAACAAAAGAGTCATCACGTAAACAGCAACAGTTTGGGATGAAAGTTCCATCAAGTAACCGGTGAAAATAAATAAAACTGAACATATTGCACAGAGGAGTCAGTTCGCGTCTGTTGGAGACCCTTTCCCTTCAGATTTCTTAGCAGCTTCCTCCGCTGCTTTTCGTTTCCGCTCTTCTTTCTCCACCTGCCTCTTTTTGTATGCTTTCTCCCCTTCTATCGCCATGTTTTCAAGGCTTTCCACCTTCAAAGCAGTCTGCAACCAAATACAACTCAGGACAGCTACAATATCGGGCCGACACCTGTATTCGTATTGGAATATCCACAGGACTAGGGCCTTGGAAGCTTCTGTTACCTTCTTGTATTTCTGCCAGGGAAAATCCAGTCTTCTCTGTTCGTCCAGAACACCGGAGTTCCCTTTGCTTTCATCAAACGGCATTTTACCAGTGATGAAAATGTACAGGATGACTCCTATTGCCCAGATGTCGGATTTCTTAGGTTCGTACGGTTCTCCTTTGAGGATTTCTGGAGCTGCGTACGATTTAGAACCACAGTAGGTCCTGCTAAGGTCCTTCATACAATCACCTTTCACAAAGCCGAAATCACACAGTTTGATGAAGTAGTTTTTGTCAAGTAGTAGATTTTCCAACTTCAGGTCTCTGTGTGTGATGTTTTGATCATGGAGGTAACGGACTGCCTCGCAGACCTGGCAAATCCAACATTTAGCGAGAGGTTCGCTCAAAGCTCCTGATTTCTGAATGTAACGCAGGACGTCACCATTCTCCGAATATTCCAGAATCATATATATGCGCCTCCCATCATCGAACATATCCATCATAGTCACAATGTTACTGTGACGCATTTTAGGCCATATGTCTAGTTCTCGCGGCAAGAACTTTAACTGGAAATCTTTTGGAGCTTTTAGACGATCAACTATTTTCACTGCAACTTTTTCACGTTCTTTTGAAAAACAGTACGCAAGTTTTACCTTTGAATAGCTTCCACTGCCCAAAGTCCTTCTAACCAAATATCCTTTCCTTGCAAGAATTGCTCGGTATGTCGGTCTGTATGTTACCGATTCTGTTTTCGATATCTGTGACCGTTTGCACTCCACTGGTTCCACTTCTGCTTTCATAACCTGTAGCTCTGAGTGAAGATTAGACATGTATTTCGTTTCATCACTCATATCTAATCGTGGACATTTACTGGGCAACATTTGAATTCACTTCTGCCTCATTTACACTTTCCAGAGCTTCTTCAACATAAGACTCTCCAACGGCAGCCTGTTTGAGCGGAAGTGTTGCTAACTGTGACGTCATGAATGCCGTGACGTCACGTTGCAACAGAAGAACAATCATTCTACGCCGCGCGATGGTCGCTCCTGTCTGTAGAGATTGTTAAGTTTATGAAAGATGTAACAGGCAAAATGAGTCGTATTGTCAAAGATTTAGTCATGTCGGAGGAAGAATCGGAGCTGAAGAAAAGGGGATATTGTCTCGGAACTACCCTTGGAGAAGGTTCTTATGCTAAGGTGAAGAGCGCGTTTTCCGAGAAGCTTCACAAGAGGGTTGCGGTCAAAATTATTAATCGCAAACGCGCGCCAAAGGACTTTCGGGAAAAATTTCTGCCGCGGGAACTTCAAGTGTTGAAAGTAGTGGATCATCATAATGTTATCGCACTGTTTGAAATCCTGGAGATTCATCACAAGGTACAGTGACAAATACAAGTAAAGCTATTGCGATGCACCTGCGCACTGCGCGCTGCGATACTAAACTCAATAATACGTAATTTACATACTGATTTACATACTGATAGTTATCAACAGTTTTTCTTTATCATTTATGTATTCAATTATATTGTCTGACTATGTATTAGGTATTATTAAAAATACATTTAATTGACGCTAACATTAATATGGATAAAATCCTATTTGTTTTACCCTTTTTTATGCTACGTAGATTTCATTCACGCAATGTATAGTTCATTATGCCATGTATCCCATCGTGAACACATCGCGATATATATATATATATATATATATATATATATATATATATATATATATGTATGGTTATAGTTATAGTTATAGTTTTATAGTTCTGAAGTAGCTAGATTATTCTTTCTTTAATATATTTCACGCCTTATTAAGTTAATAACTTTGCGACCGGTAAGAACAGATCGCTTTATTGAACGTAATTAGATTATAGCTCTGTGGTGTTATAAAGGACGAAAACTTACGATTCGACTCGTCGAAAAAAACCTCGTGGAAGGACTTTGTCTGAATGTCGGTTTTCTATAAGACTTCGTGTTTGAAAAGTTTTAAATATAAGTAAACTATGTCTCACCTATCTGTACCAAAACGATTTGGTCTTATATATATTAATTCTTTTCTAACCTTATAGTGTGGAATTGAGCCAATAGCGTAGCTCAGTCCCCCACCATATATAATTGCTCGAATACTTTTCAGTGCGTCGAACTACTCACTCACTCACCCAATGACAAGACGTTGAATTATCCTTATTTACTATATAAACTGTAAATATATTACATTATTGATTATATCACCCCTTATAATAAGTACTGTGTCTTCCTCGATTGTTTCTGGCGCAATGCCTGTTGGAGTCAACCAAACGAGCTGGTTGATTGTAAGTCTTGTGCCCTGGAGGCTCTGCTTGTTTCTCGTGTATTCAACCCCAGATTTGTCTACTTTTCGGTCCTCAATGTATTTACATGTCGCTCTTTATATGTAGCAAAACGGAGGTGTTCAACGAAATTCACTGTCTACTATGTTTTGTTTTTTGGAGAAATGGGAAGTGAACGCCAAAGAGGAAGCGGTTGCATTGTAGGTGCAATATAGATAACCGTCATATAGCTGGAATATTGCTGAGTGCGGCGTTAACACAACAAACAAGCAAACAAACAATGCAATATAGGTTTCTAGGTTTGTCAGCACAACACCCGTGCTCGTGGGTTTCACCGAAGTGGTAAACGTCTGAGACCTGCATCACTTCGGGCTTTCCTCCCACATTAAGCTGACACGCCGCGATATAACTATAATACTGTTAAAAGCGACGTTAAACCAAATTCACTCACTCACCAAATCTGCGAAAGCTTAAGTTTCGCAGATGTACCAGGCCAGTTTAAATTCACTTTAACGTTTCCGCATATGGATATCCTATGTGAAGTAAATTCACACCGCTCACTCACTGTCAACGACGCTTGTTTTTGTATTTCTGGTACCGTGCGCAGCTGAAACAAATTCTTTCACCCACGAGGTTAGGTACAGAGGCAGATGGTTCTAATTGTATTTTTTTTTTTCAAAAAGGAATTGAAGAAAATATAAGATTAAGAAAAAAACAGCCTTTGCGTTTCGTGGAATACTGAAATGTGACATTTAATCACGAAGAATAAAAGAACAATCAAGAAAGGAACACACAGAGAAGAAACGAAGCTAAGCTATAGGGGGCTGGTAGAGCTTTGTCTTGTCTTTAATGACGAGAACGAATTAGCCCGTGTGCACCAGAACGTGAAGAATAGGGCGGACGGTCTTTGATTACGCGGCGGCCTCCAGGCTGTTCTGCATAACCGAAGCCGAATCTCTTGCCGACGTTTATAGGGAGGATATTGATATTTTGATATGTTTATGTTTTCCGACGGAACAAAAGATGTTTATGGATGAGGAAATGCAAATTTACGCCACTTACAATATAGGTCTGAATTATTATAAATATTGTTCGCTAGTATCTGATAGCATATATGACTCCTGCTAAAATATACATAATAGATTAATTTGACTACATGTATGTCACTGAATAATATATATTGATTATTAATACAAATGTTGGCTGACATTTCATGGAAGTTGAAGATTCGACGGTGGTGCTATGGTGAGGCTCTATTGAGAGTGTTGAGTTTATGTTAATACGTGTATGTCCAATTTGAAGCCTGAAATAGCGGAGAGTAGTTGGATGGGTGACCGCGTTCTGCAGCTTGATTCCTGAGAGTTTCTAGGGCTTTGATAGATGTCCTCACTGAAGCACATGTAACTGATGTGGTGTTTCTTTAGGCACGGGATTTTGTTTCAAAATATGCCTCCGTTAACCAAGCATCGAATGGGTACCCGGTAGGATAAAATGGAACGACTTTGTCCACTGTTAACCTTCCAGCGCTTGAAAGGCAGCTTGGGTTGTATACTTCCCAGGGAGCTGAGAATGAAAGTCGCGTGCACACTGACATTGGTCAGGGTAATAATGTCGTGCTTTGAGCATGCTTTAGGATGTGTATTTGGCGCAAAATAAATATGATCATTATTATTTTTAGTAGTAGTAGTAGAAGTAGTAGTAGTAGTAGTAGTAATTTTTAGTAGTAGGAGTAGTAGTAGTAATTTTTAGTAGTAGGAGTAGTAGTAGTAGTAAGACCCGTGAAGATTCCGGGATAGAATAGGTCTTCAGCAACTCATGCTTGACGTAAAAGGTGAATAGGCTTGTCGTAAAAGACGACTAACGGGTGGTCAGGCTCGCTGACTTGGTTGATGCATGTCATCGATCCCAATTGCGTGGATCGATGCTCATGATATTAATCACTGGAGTGTCTGGTCCAGACTCGATTATTTACAGACCGCCGTCATATAGCTGGAATATTGCTGAGTGCGGCGTTAAACAACAAACAAACAAAAGTAGTAGTAACAACATATTTCTTTGACCACACATACAGTGAACAATTTTGTTGTAAAACTCGAGACAGACTTTTTTTTTTCAATATTATCCTAATCCCTGTTTCCATTATAAAACTAGTTAACTAATTATTTATTAATGTAACACTTCGACATATATTTTTCTCATCTCTTTTGTGTTCCGAATGAATAAAAATCTCAGGGAACACAAAACATTTCTGGAATACTGTTTCACTTTTTTTATTTTTGTTAGTTTTCGTAATTATACTGTTGCAGTGTGTATAATAATGGCAAGAAAATTTATGTTTCCCTTTGTAGTTATACATAGTGATGGAGCATGCAGGTCACGGTGACCTCTTGGAGTTTATAAAATTGAGGGGGGCCCAGTCTGAAGACCAAGCCCGCAAGATGTTCAAGCAGATGATGGATGGGATAGATTATCTCCACCAGAATCACATAGCCCACAGGTAGTATTTGAACTTGGAAACCATGTGGTTGTGACGTCATGATTGGATGACATCATAGTCGTATGACGTCATTTGTGACCAAACTCGAACTTTTATTTCTCGCTTTTTCTTGATGAAAATATACTAAAACTATCACTTGGCATTTGTTTTCCTTATGTGAGGTCTGTGATTATTCGTGCCTTTAACTATTGACCTTCAGTTAAAAATGTACATCGGAGTTGGCTACGGGTTGTCAAGTCGTCTGAGGCGCTGCAGTTCGTTGTGAAGAGTTGCGTCCCTTAGCCATCCCAGAATCCAAGCCCCTCACAGCGATAGCCCGTTCCCCACTGTGATAGGTGGCCACAACCATGCTTGGAGTTGAACTCGCAACCGAATGACCCTTATGTTTACAAATAAGTGACGCCGATACACTTACCACTGCTAAATTACTTTCTTTGTTTATGAATTTGAATTTCTATTTCATTAAATCCATCATGTCATCGATATAGTAAGAATGTAAGGGACAAGTTGGTTGATTTTCCGTTAGTCTGCAATCTCGAACCAATCTGATTAGACAAACAACAAAGTAAGTTCATCTATAAAACATGGTTAGTCGTAAACCTTTTCAAAATTAACAATGGTGGCATTTCCAAAGACATAAATAAAAGTATGAACGTTACTACATTTGGGGTTAAAATGCAAATGTCAAGATTCTTGTAATGACCGCGCCCACGCTGGTGTCAGCTATGTTCCCGAGAGTGTAACGAAGGTGTCACGCCTTGGGAAGGAGCTTGTGCCAGAATCATGGGTTTTGCCGCATGCAGATTCGACTGGGTTAAGATAGTTGGTTTGTCACCGTCATACCCAAATATTCACCAGAGTGGTTTAAATGTGAAACACCTTCCTCGTGTGGTTTGGACTTTCGTCACACATTAAGTGAGAGAGTGAGTGAGTTGGGTTTGACTCCGCCTTTAACAGTATTCCAGTTATATCATGGCGTGTCAGCTGAATGTGGGAGGAAAGCCCGAAGTGAAGAAGGTCTCAGACGTTAACAAAGGTGAAAACCACGAGCACGGGTATGGTGCTGACAAACATAGAAACATAGTCGGGCGAACCGGGATTGGAACCCACAATCATAGGTTTCTGGCGTGCCCAAGGGACGCAACTCTGCACAGCGAATCACGGCGCCTTGGACCACAGGGCCACCCGTGCCCCCGACTCAGTGTATAATACTGATTAATACATGTATGTTGAATATGACATTGACTGAGAGTTAGGTGATATTGATAGATGCCATCTCTGAATACTGCATTCGCTTACACGTTTTAAACTGGCAAATAAACACATCGGTGTTGCCAACGTCTTGCATAATGCAGGTATAACCAAATCCACATTGAAACAGAATGTTTCTGACAAAAGTTGCCTAAGATCACCTCTCCACACAATCCAATCCCTATAACACCAGACAAGTTTGCTACGGCAAAAGATCATTACTCACAAATGAGAGGTTCTGTCCAATACTTTATACATTGTGAAACAGGTAACACATAACATGTGTCTTCGCTTTCACCGAGAACAGCATCACTGCAAAAAAAACTGTGGCTGATAAAGAATTATTTTTAGAAATTTAGATTGCATCTTTCTATGTGATCCGTCACTTCATTTTATAGTCGCCGATGGCGCCCCATTTCGCTGTGGAAACCTGCGTCCCCCAGGCGTCCCAGGACCCTCGTGGGTTCGAATGCCAGAGACCGCCCCGGCCGCGTCATGCCAAAAAGACGTTAAAAGATGGTACTTGTTGTAACCCTGTCTGGCGCTCGGCATTAAGGGGCTAAAACAAGGACTGGTCGGCTCGGAGTCAGTATACTGTGTCTGAGTGGGGTATTCATGTTAAACTGCGACATGGTATCTCAGTGAGCTAGCACTATAAATCGGCATCAGTTCGGTCTAGTACAAGCAGACACACACACACACACACACACACACACACACGCACACACATGTCGCTATATAAGTGCAATAATCTTGGACGCGACGTTAAACCCCATTTCACCTTACCTCGAATGTCAGATGGCCCTGTGTCATGGTTTCTCGGCCACATACCGACACAAGAGTAAACGTCTAAGACCTGCATCACTTCGGGCTGTCCACCCAAATCAAGCTAACACGCTGTAATACAAATTGTACTAAGCGGCGTTGAAGCATACTCACTCACTCATTTCGAAATTATTTGTCAATTCACTATCACAGCATATTGAACCAATGTTATTAGTTAAAATGAAAAGAAAGCATATCCGGCTTATCTGATTGTTCAAGTGTGTACCCCGGCGACATGGTGGACCCTTAAACTGGCACTTCGGGCTTTCCACCCAACCCGACGAGCCGCGAAATAACTGAAATCCTGCCCAAGACGTTAAACCAAACTCACACGCATTCATTTATTGAGATATTGCTGCCTTCGACCGTTCGACGTTAAACCCATGCCGCTTATTTTCCAGGGATCTCAAGTGCGAGAACCTTCTGCTAGACAGTGAGAACACAATCAAGGTATCGGACTTTGGCTTTTCCCGGTTCTATGACAACGGAGTCACCAGTAAGACATTCTGTGGAAGTGCTGCCTACGCAGCTCCGGAAGTTCTCCAAGGTATCCCGTATCACGTGCCTCTTCATGACATCTGGGCAATGGGGATCATCCTCTATATTATGGTAGGTGAAGGAACGTTTACTCGTAGCAAATTAAGATGCTTGTCGATAGAGGATTCTGAACAATTTGACAACAGCTGGAATGTAATCCCAAGATTACAAGAAAACAACATTTAGAGAAATGAATATTGTTATATATACCACGAGATTTGTATTGTAAAGAAACGGTTGTTTGAAATGCAGTTGCCTCTCTCTCTCCCTCTCTCTCTCTCTCTCTCTCTCTCTCTCTCTCTCTCGCTCTCTCTCGAGATTATGGTACTTGCATTTACAAGTTACCATTAATTTATATGCAGTATTAAGAAGCAGTTTTTAGAAGAAAAGTAAAGTGACTGAATGTTAAATTACATGCCATACAACTGATAATTGTGTCGACTATTAATTGGCATATTGTCTCGTAATTGATCAAATTTATTTGTACTTGCAAAAGATGATTTCACTACCCTTCATTTACTGTTCGACATTTCTACACAAGTTCTCCAGTTATGTGAGGCCTCTTGTTAATCAGAAATGTCAATTATACCATCTCCATTTAGGAAAAAAATATTAAAATGTTATTAATGCGTAATGGTCTGATGTAAGCCCGGGGGTGATATTAAAAGAGGCATGTTGAAAGCTGTCGACGGATAACTGCACACTGTGGACAACACGATATATCACTCCTGTATTTTGTTAAATCCTGATCTCAATGTATGTTTTGGAAACATTTACAGGTGACATACTCCTCATTTGAATACCATCGATACCTGGAATGGTGGTTGTAGAATACTGTTCATCCAGATGGTGGCAAATGCTGGTTCATATACAATGTGGGGGTACGGGTGGCCCAGTCGTCTAAAGCGCCGCGATTCGCTGTGCAGAGTTGCGTCCCTTGGGCACGCCAGAAACCTATGATTGTGGGTTCGAATCCCGGTTCGCCCCGATTATGTTTCTAGGTTTGTCAGCACCATACCCGTGCTCGTGGGTTTCACCGAAGTGGTAAACGTCTGAGACCTTCTTCAATTCGGGCTTTCCTCCCACATTAAGCTGACACGCCGTGATGTAACTGGAATACTGTTAAAAGCGACGTCAACCCCAGTTCATTCACTTATATACAAAGTGTACAACTTAAAAGAAGTGAAAGAAGATCCGAATGCATGAAAGATTAACTATAGTAATAATTATGAAATAATTTGGTGTTCTTTAACTTCTTTTGAGTAGTATGATATGATTTAAAGAAGCGGGGGAACAGTTGAAAGGGTACTCAAATAGCTGTTACCTTGGAACCGGTATAAAAGCCTTTAAATCAGTTAATGAATTTCGGATTGTGTATTTTAATATGAGTATGTTACTTTGTGTACAAAAGCAAACTTGTTTCGTCAGAACGTCACCACTGAATACGATTTTCAGAAATGTCTATTTTATATGGAAATAAATAGCAGGTGGTGCGTAGTTTCCCAGTTGTATAAACATTCAAACACACTGATAAGAAGTTTTACATTGAAATCATAATTTGTTGGTTGGTTTGTTGTTTTACGCCGCACTCAGCATATTCCAGCTATATGACGGCGGTCTGAAAATAATCGAATCTGGACCAGACAATCCAGTGATTGACGTGATGAACATCGATCCACGCCATTGGGCTCGATGACATGCATCAACCAAGTCAGCGAGCCTGACCACCCGATCCTGTTAGTCGCCTCTTATGACAAGCATAGTCGCCTTTTACGGCAGGCATGGGTAGCTGAAGACCTATTCTAACCCGGACATTCACGGGTCGAGTGAGTGAGTGAGTAAGTGAATGATGAGAGAGGTACCTTCAACTCGCAGTACGATGACCAGTGTTACCCCTCGCAGTTCGATGACCAGTGTTACCCCTCGCAGTACGATGACCAGTGGTACCCCGCGCAGTACGATGACCAGTGTTACCCCTCGCAGTACGATGACCAGTGTTACCCCGCGCAGTACGATGACCAGTGGTACCCCTCGCAGTTCGATGACCAGTGTTACCCCTCGCAGTACGATGACCAGTGGTACCCCTCGCAGTACGATGGGTAGTGTTACCCCTCGCAGTACGATGGGTAGTGTTACCCCTCGCAGTTCGATGACCAGTGTTACCCCTCGCAGTACGATGACCAGTGTTACCCCTCGCAGTACGATGACCAGTGGTACCCCTCGCAGTACGGTGACCAGCGTTACCCCTCGCAGTACTATGACCAGTGTTGGCCCTCGTAGTACGATGGATAATGTTACCCCACGCATTGCAATTGTCAGTATGATGCATCATACAGATGGCCCATGATAAAATATCACAGTACGATGAAAAATGTTACCCCCTCCCTGTGCGATAGCCAAGAATATTCTTCAAGGTCGATTACCGGGGCGGTCGGGTAACCTAGTGGTTAAAGCGTTCGCTCATCACGCCGAAGACCCGGGTTCAATTCCCGACATGGGTACAATGTGTGAAGCCCAGTTCTGGTGTCCCATGCCGTGATATTGCTGGAATATTGCTAAAAGCGGCGTAAAACCATACTCACTCACTCACTCAAGTTAGATTACCAATATTATCCCTCACAGTATTTTTTCCCCCAAATATATTAATACTGCTCATTTGGTACTTGGAATTTAAAAATTGAACTTAGTTGGTTATAATTAGAAACAGACGTTCTTTTTGTCTGTAAACGAAAGTTATAAGCTGATGGTCACTGTGAATTTGAAACCTGCAGGTATGTGCCTCAATGCCGTACGACGACTCCAACCTGAAGCGCATGGTCAGAGACCAGACTGAGAAGAAGGTCAGTTTCTCCAAGTCCAAGAAGATCTCCGTGGAATGTAAGGATTTGGTACACCGAATACTCGAGGTGAACGTCAAGAAACGCGCCTCCATTGCCATGATGTCGGAGCATCCGTGGATAAGAGGAGCCAGTGGCTCCGCAAGCACATCAGTGAACCAGCCATACCCGATACAGCCAGTCACCAGCGAGGACAAGAAGAAGGACAAAGTGAGCGAAGACAAAGTGCGCGCAACATTTATGACTGACCTTCACCTTCGACCGGAAGAAAGAGATGGCAAAAAGAAGTCCAAGGACAGAGTTGGAAAGAGTGAGACGCCGGATATGACGCTTCAGTCGGAGGCTAAAGCGTGAGTGCGGTTGAGTGAATATGTTCTCTAACGCTGTTAACGCGTTGTAAGGTTTTATTGTTCGCTACGTCGGAAAAGTGCAATATCTGTTAAGATTGTTTCAATATTTGTTGTTTTGTTTTCTGGTTTTATGCTAATGGTTGTATTTGAATATGTCTGATCATGGTTATGTGTACGTGGTTTGTACAAAAATTGAACATTCGGATTCAAAGGCACTATAAAAGTTTTATAATCATGTATGTATCACAAAAGTATTATTTCTGTTTTGACAAAACAAATTCCATCTTGTGGTACAATGCTGGTGTCGGGGGTGTGTGACTGCACGTATTCATATATGCCTTGTCTTGCTTTCGTTGATTTGACTTTTAATCTTGTCATGCCTATTGCTGTTATTCTTGGTTTTTAAAGTGAGTGAGTGAGTTGGGTTTAACGCCGCTTTTAACAATATTCCAGTTATATCACGGCGTTGTTTTTTTAAAGACGGTAATTGTTGTTTTATTACTCTTATTTTATACAGCTTGTGTATCTGTTTCATTAACCATTGTTACATGCAAATTGTTACGATTCAAAAGTTGTCCAATTATACGTAGCATAACTCTAAGTGCGCGTTTGCATGTCCGTGATCCAAGTACAGAAAAGTTTTTGCGTATGCGTGCGCGCGCTTGTGTGTGTGTGCGTGTGCGTGCGTGTATGTGCGTACCTGCAGCTGTGTGAGAGTGAATAAAAGAGAGTCCACCTTTTTGATAGTTTTAAATATTATTATTTTAGATAAATTTGTTGTACACAGAAACCTCGGTAATCCAGACCCCTTAATTTTGGAATCCCCTCCTTGAACGCCTACATACTGGGGGACTTAACATTAAATCAATTATTCTTTTGTACAGACATTTGTTAAATCCGGGCGATTTATCATCCGGATTAACGAGGTTTTACTTTAATCACTTAGCGCTGTGTTAGGTGTCTTAACGTGTTACTTTTAAATGGTTTTCTATTGTGATGTTATTTACCCATTGTTGTTATTTTAAGCATCTGTGTGATACCGTCATGCACGTGTGTGTGCGCGTGTACTGTACCAATCGTTATTCACGCGTTTCGAAGGTTATTACAAATGAATGCATGAATTTTACTTTTGTCAAAATAAATTGTGATAATAAATTGTTTTCTATACAACATAAATATTTGTGGTATTTGTATAAGAATTAAGTGGATTAGCAACGTCGAGAAAATTGGTTTCAAGTTAATATACCGTTACATTTCTATCAAAGCAGTATGAGAAAGCGTTTAATTGTTCCGACTGTATTTAAATCAATTAATTACGCAAACTGAATTTTCAATAATATCAAATTATGCCATCAATAGAATTCACATGCACAAATGTGTGAATAACGCCACACAGAGACGGGTTTGTTAATTGTTTTGGTCTCAAGGGTTAATCGTCACCTTACCATTATTAATAAAGAAATATGATAAACCTCAGCGTCGGTTTAATGCCCCTCGAAATGGCGTTTTATGACAGTCGTATCACGGTGTCATATTTGGCTACAAACTTCGGGTTGATGAGGATGCTACCAAATGTGGCCACTGATTTTTTTATGAACGAATAAACCTTAATGGCAATGGAAAAATATCCTATTAACACTGGGCCGGACCTTCCGTAATAATGGTCATTAATAGAAACACGATTTGTAAGGGTGCTTTTATGATGATATGTATCATTAAGTTTCATATCACGATGCTCACTGTTTACGTCAGGGCATAATATAAAAGAATAGAATAAAATACGAAGTTAGTCTGTCTGAGGTTAAATGAACATTTCGCCACAATTAATGAAAAAAACTTTCATTGAAATTACAGCGGTCCCTAGGGAGATCGCTTAAAACACAATTAATGATGATTCCGTTATTGCGTATTATCGTCCAGGGCTGGAGAATAATTCAAGTGATCCCAACAATAGCCAGACGTCAAATCCATTCAGATTGCCGAAGCAAACATAACAGTTAATTTTTGTCTAAAAATTCCTGTGTTAATCACTGTCCTCGTGGGGATAACTCATTTAGTGAATCACTGGCAATTGAAGGTGGATCAAAGACCAAACCTAGCCTTCCCGGCGTTGCTTGCAAAAAATCTTAATGAAACAGACAACACTAATTGCCAAAGGCTATGTCACTTTCGCTAAGCCGGAATACAGGGGTCACAGGTCAGTCTGAAATTGACAGACTCTGATTGGCCCGCATCGGCACGATCTAAGATATTGACCCGTACTATTGTGCTCCCAATTCCCTGGTGAATAGAAAACTGTCAATTTATCTGATAATATTTCATCTTTCTTATGCCATGGAAGGCTAGAATCGCTGTGTGGAATCGCCGGCTTTTTGATCCAATTTTTGCAATTATCTTAAAAAACACGTCATCGGGCGACTTGGTCTCGTTCTTGCCGCCCCCCGCGTCGCTCGAGTGTCACCCTGCTGGCCGAGAGATGGCTCGCTCAGGCCAGGGTGTAAAGCGACCCTACTGATGAAATCAGCCTGAGACCTCGGCTTTAATCATAGCATCTGTGTCGTTAATTTATAGGAGTTTCTCAGGCTCTATCTACAGATTTGATTCAAAGGGCATCTTGTATTAAACATGAATTCCGAATGTTATAAATTGTTTTGCTCTCTTGATTTCAACTGATTACAAGATAGTGAAAGAGAGGATTTTGTTTTGAAAAAATGAACTTTAAGGTTTCTGTGGACATTTTGATTACTTTTTTAAAAACAACGTTCTAATATCGGTTAATTAAGCTTTGCTAATAACTGATTTTCAAATTAATATTATCATGATTCATTTATACCTTATGTACAAATTTGAAGTATTTATATAATACTGACAAAGAGACATATTGGGTAAAATATTTTTTAATAAATATTTTTATTGCACTTAATATATAATGAATATTATTATGTTTTTAAACATGTGATTAAAATTACAGTCGTGGCATTTTTCTGGATCGGTTTGTGAAAGGGGGCATGTACATGTTTCGTTTGATACTGGGTGTCAGGGTAGCCTAGTGGTTTCAGCGTCAGAGACCAGGGTTCGATTCCATCAGTGTGCAATGTGTGAAGCCCATCCTTAACGTTTCCCGCCGTGGTGTGGCTGTAATATTGTTAATAGCAGAATACAGACACACTCTCTCAGATTTAATTGATATAACATTGCTTCTAAGGCACAACATCGATGCTGTTGATGGCAATCACTTGATTGTCTGTCCAGACTCGATTATTTACAGACTGCCGTCATATGCCTGGCGTATTGCTGTGTGCTGCGTTAAACAATAAACAAACAAATCCGAGGCAAAACAAGTGTTTTTCTATTATTTTCACGAAACTGGTTGATTTGTGTAATATGGTTCATGAGTCGCTCTAAGTGATGTTTGTTAAGTCATCTTCATGCACTTCATTTGCCTAGAGATATTGAAAAAAATGTCAGGCTAAATAATAAACATAAAAAGTCCGACTTTCCTTGCCAGATATATAAATCTGTGTGTCTTGAAAGTTACATACAGAGCTGTACGCTACAACCACTGAGTGAGTGATTCCGCATATTCCAGACATGAAATAACGGGGGACACCATGTAAGGAATTGAACATGGACCTTCGTTGTAACAAGCCAACGCAATCACTACACCCACCCCACCGCTATATAACCACTACACCCCACCCCACCGCTATATAACCACTACACCCACCCCACCGCTATATAACCACTACACCCCACCCCACCGCTATATAACCACTACACCCCACCCCACCCCACCGCTATATAACCACTACATCGCACCACAACGCTATATAACCACTACACCCAACCCCACCGCTATATAACCACTACACCCACCCCACCGCTATATAACCACTACACCCCACCCCACCGCTATATAACCACTACACCCCACCCCACCGCTATATAACCACTACACCCACCCCACCGCTATATAACCACTACACCGCACCACGCAGCTATATAACCACTACACCGCAACACACCGCTATATAACCACTACACCCCACCACACCGCTATATAACCACTACACCGCAACACACCGCTATATAACCACTACACCGCACCACGCAGCTATATAACCACTACACCGCACCACACCGCTATATAACCACTACATCGCACCACAACGCTATATAACCACTACACCGCTATATAACCACTACACCGCACCACACCGCTATATAACCACTACACCGCTATATAACCACTACACCGCACCACAACGCTATATAACCACTACACCGCACCACACCGCTATATAACCACTACACCGCACCACGCAGCTATATAACCACTACACCGCTATATAACCACTACACCGCACCACACCGCTATATAACCACTACATCGCACCACAACGCTATATAACCACTGCACCGCTATATAACCACTACACCACACCACGCAGCTATATAACCACTACACCGCAACACACCGCTATATAACCACTACACCCCACCACACCGCTATATAACCACTACACCGCACCACACCGCTATATAACCACTACACCCCACCCCACCCCACCGCTATATAACCACTACACCGCACCACACCGCTATATAACCACTACACCGCACCACGCAGCTATATAACCACTACACCGCTATATAACCACTACACCGCACCACTATATAACCACTACACCGCACCACACCGCTATATAACCACTACACCGCACCACGCAGCTATATAACCACTACACCGCTATATAACCACTACACCGCACCACACCGCTATATAACCACTACACCGCACCACACCGCTATATAACCACTACACCGCACCACACCGCTATATAACCACTACACCGCACCACACCGCTATGTAACCACTGCACCGCACCCCACCGCACTATAATCACTACATGCCACCACGCGGCTCTATAACCACTACACGCCACCGATCTATAACCACAGCACCATATCCCACTCTTCTATAACCAAAGTATGACCACCCCTCACCCCACCGCTCTATAACCACTACGCCCCACCACACCGCTCTATAACCACTACGCCCCACCACACCGCTCTATAACCACTACGCCCCACCATATTGCACTATAACCACCCCATCTATAACCACAGCACCATATCCCACTCTTCTATAACCACAGAATGACCACCCCTCACCCCACCCCTCTATAACCACAGCTCCCTTGGTGACTCCGGGTATATTCCCAGCAACCTACGCTTGTCGTAGAAGGCGACTTAAGGGATCATATGGTCAGGCAAGGTTCATTGTGGCATCGTGCCCTGGCCGTGTGGGGCGTTGCTCGTAATGTCAATCACTTGTTTGTTTGCTCCAGACTCGACAGGCCACCGGCACAGTTAAAGTCTCATAAAGCTACATATATACTTTGAATGCTACACTGAAGTTTATCACGCATTTTCTTTAGTTTATCATCACAATAATTTCAGTGGATCGACCAACAACTAGACATAAAAGATACAACAGTCAGCCATTGCCTTATCAAAATATATCACTCTTCCTTTGTATTTGTATCTTCGTTTGATGTGAGGGTGATTTCCCGGACGATCCGGGTAATGAAAGCCACAAAAAAACGGAGATTACCGGTCTACTCCAGACAACATTTCTAATCTCTTCGCCAGCCCGTTCGTGCCTTGTCGCCAACTAATTATTTCTTTTGTATTAAAAAAACGGGGGAAAAAATGTTCTTCCAAAGTTGACGACGATGTCGGCAGTATTTAAAGCCCATATCAGTAACGCCGTCGAAGCTTTGCGGGGGGTCGCACGTGCCCCGACAAAATCAATCTCCAGAGCAGTAGAATTTTGACAGGAAATACTAGATTTGTATTTATCAGTTGGGAGCATGGCTTCTCCGGGTTTTCACAGCATGGGATTCTGTTTAAAGAAAGACATTCTCTTTAATTTCCATGGTAACGCTTAAACATTTCAGCCCCCTCTCCTTTATTCGAGATTGCAAACAAGAAGAGTCCGACGTCCTGAGCTGTAGATAGATGATCGATTTTAATTCACAGCGGGGCGCATGGGTCTTATCGCTTGTAAAAAGTTGTCTCCCTTTAGTTTCATTATTTTATAATCTTCCGCCTGATATCCATCAAAATAAATCCGAGAGACACTACTTGATGTGAAATATGAGCAT